TGCTTTGCTCCCCTCTCATATATACCTGCCGAGAGTGTTCTAGTCGGCCGCACTCAAGAGCAAGAACAGCAACAAGGTACCCCACAGCATTATACGTAGCCTGCCGTCAGAAAACAAATCTAAAAACGAGATATACAATGATCACGATAGCAGCAAGTTTTGGGATTATCATCATTTCTTAAGTAGAGTAGTCGTGGGTATTGCCACATGATTGACGCCTGCAGACATGTCTATAAACCAAACCCCTTTTCCGGTATCTTACAGCTTGTTCAAAATACACCAGTGCCCAATATAAGTACAAATCATGCATCCGTCCATCGTAGTGTTATATTACATTTTCGCCATTTCACTTGATCCGAGTTAGTGCTCTTAGAAAGAGGAAGAGCGGCTGCTACCACGGCCGCCAAAGCCTCCGCCGCTGCGGCTTCCACCATTGCGGCTGCCGCCGTAGCCGCCACCACCACGGCCGCCAAAGCCGCCCGATCGGCTGCCACGGCCAAAGTCGTCACGGCGAACGTTGGCAGCCATGTTATCGAAAGGGTCGCTGCTTCGTTGAGGTCGTCCACCACGGTCGCCACCTCGTCGGTCACCACCACGACCACGGTCTCCACCAAAATCTCCACCACGTCGGTCGCCGCCTCCCTCTCTAATGTTCATGCCTTGAGCACGGGCAAGACCCATCTTGTTCACCCACATAGAGCTAACGAAGGGAGGCTCCTGCCAGCCCCATCCATGCTTGGTCCAGGCGTTGACATCCTCAGCGATTTCAACCTTGTCAGTAGCAAGACCGAACATGGAGGTGTATGTTTGAGCGAGGAGGTCTCGAGGCACGACTGAAAATAGTTGCTTGGTAGCCTCAATGTACTCGTTGGTCTCGCCACCGGCAATATCGGCCTCGGCGGTCTCGAGGGTGCTGTTCTGTGCGATGGGCAGACCCTGAAGCATCTTGCGAGCAGCACGGACAGAAGAGTGAGGGAGGATCAACCAACCCTGACCCTCCTTGTTCTGTCGACCGGTTCGTCCGAGACGGTGAATGTAAGACTCACGGTCTCTAGGGGTATCAACTTGGATAACGTGTGTAACATCGGGGAAATCCATTCCACGAGCAGAGACATCTGAAGAGAAGAGGACACCAGACTTGGCCTCACGGAATCTATCAGCAGCTCGCTGGCGCTGATGTTGGCCAAGCTTGGACTGGAGGACGTAGGATGCGAGGAAAGGCTTGCGGTCGTTACGGGCGTTCTCTCGCTTTTGGTAAGCAAGCTCACCACCAAGCTCGACAAGAGCTGTGGTGTTCAGGTAAACAATGGCCTTGAAAGGGCGCTCAGTGGGGTCCTCGAGAGACTTCTGGTGCTCACGGTCGATAAGCTCAAAGAGTGTGGGGAAAACTTGAGTCCAGCTGGAGACAGGAACAATGTGCTGAGGAACCTTGTCGTGTGTGAGAGACTCGTTCTCGGGAATAGTCTGAACGAACTCAAAGTCGTCAGCTCGAACCATAGAACGAGCCAGGCGGATGACACTGTCGGGAATAGTGGCGGAGACAAGCATGGTTTGGCGGATCTTCTCCTCGGGACGGGGAAGTTGGCTAATAATTTCGTTGAGTTCTCGCTCAAAACCAGTATCGAGCATTCGGTCGGCCTCGTCAAGAACAAGAGCAGCCAGGTTGGGGGCATCGACACCACTGCCAGGGTCTGAGAGCAAATCGTTCAGGCGACCGGGAGTGGCAACAAGAAGATGGCAACCCTGTCGGCGAGTCTGGTTAAGCATGCTGCGCTTATCGGTACCTCCAACGGCGCACTGGACAACGAGTCCAGTGTTCTGGCACAACTTGCGAGCCTCTTGGGCGATCTGCTCAGCGAGCTCTCGAGTGGGTGATAGAACAATTCCACGGATATCGTCGGCTCGGGCTTGTCGTCGAGCGTTTCGGCCGGCCAGGGAAGGGTCCTCGTTGATCATTCTTTGCAGAAGAGGTAGGAGGAAAGCAATGGTCTTTCCGGTACCGGTCTTAGCCTGAGCAACGCTGGTATGTGTTAGTGTACGCTTTCACTGTGCTTTTGGTGTATGACACTTACATATCTGTTCCCTTGAGTGCAGGCTGGATGGTCTTGGCCTGGACGGGGGTCATGGTATCGTAGTTCATGTTTCTGGTGATAGTGCTAACCAAGACTGGGTCGACGCCCTCAACATCGGCGAAGCGAACCTCAGGCTCGGGGTTTGCTGAAGCAGGCTCTTGTGTTTGCTCAGCAGCTGCCTCAGTGCTGTAGGCTCGGAAAGAGGCGATCTTGGTAATAGAGGCAATGGGCAAGCGGCTTGTCACAGCCTGAGAGCGGGCGACAGGCAAAGCAGCTCGGGTCTGGCTGAGCAGGGCAGCCGTAGTGGCGGTCCTGGCCTGAGTGGCACAGCGCCTGAGGCTGGATCGAAACATTATTGCTGGTGATTAAAGAAAGGCTTCTGCAGAGATTCCTGTTCTGCGATTGAGAGAATTACCAACAAAAAAGTAACGAGGAGAAAGGGTAATGATGGGTATAAAAATTAAGTTGGAGGGTTGATGAGCGGACGAAAGGTGGGCGATCAAGGGTCGCGCGACCAGTACTTTTAGGAAAAATGAAATTTTTCCAGTATGTTATCTTATCTTCTAATTGGCTAAAGATACACTACCCTCGACTCAGTTAGATCCCGCTGTCACGTGGACCACCGGAGGTCACTCCGGAAGGTCATCGGAGTAGAGGGGCAATTAATGGAAGAATAAGAAGAAAAATGCAGTCTCTTCGCGCCTATTCTCATGCTATTCTATGCAATTCTATAGTAAATATTCATTCGTTGATTCGTCAATCCTCCCCCTGATTCAATCATACCAATGCCTGCAGTTGCCCCATCTATAGTCAATTCCACTTTTGAAGTGTCTCGAGTTTCTTCAGCGGATGGATGTCTCTAAGCCGTCCTCGATTTCGACCCCACAATAGAAAGACCCTCTCCGAGTCCGTCCGAGATACCCTGCGTAACACCATCAACTGTCCAGACAAAAACTTCCAACAGAGCCTGGGCAACTTTGCCATCGTTCATTTGACCAACTGCTTCAGTCAATGAAGCGCTCTGCTTGCCAATCGAATTGGCTAGATCAACACCGTGACCTATTATTGTTTCCGAGATCTTGTATTTGCGTTCAAGACGAGCTGCGTATCTGACTAACAGAAGTAGGTATGGCATTAAGAAGCTGAGGAAGAAGATTAGATTGACGACAGTCATCTGGACTCCACGATGGATGATAGAACGAGGTCGATTGACTCTGATCCGACTTGAGTCATCTTCTGCTCGAGTCAGGACCGAGTTTTGTTGGTTGACGTTCTCTGGTAAGGCGGATTGGATTCGTTTCAGTTCGCCTTCGTCTAAGTCTTGCGGGAGAGCTTTGAGGAGGTATGTCACTCCATCAACAAAAGCCTTCCTCTCAAAAGCGACATCTTCCTCTGCTACAGCCGCTTTGCCTCCATCAATAGAGATGTTGACAAGATTTGTACCTTGAACATCATTAGCATTCACTGATAAAACGATCCTCAAGGTTGCTTACCTTGTCGTGCAAACTTCCAATGGACGCCAGATGCAGCTCTCATCACTGGCTCATCCTCTGGTGACTCAGAATAAAGAACCCGACTCATGGGCTGAGGACACAGCTCTTGAGATTCTATATATCCGCTACTGTGTTTGACCATATCAGTTTGGAGTGCGGCAGCTGCATCAGCTTCTGAAAGGGGCCTCGGCTTTGCTCGTGATCCTGAGATGGCGACATCGGGCCGTAGTGTATGGAAGCTGATACTCCTTCTGAGAAATCGAATAGGTCCTGATTGAAGCGAGGTTGGAAGCATGGCGACAACATTAAAAATTCTGCTTTCGGTGATTTGGTCAACCTTGACTTCGCCGATCGCGGGAGCGAATGATCTAAGATGCGACGCCATGTTTTTGGAATGTCTCGGGAAGGTGGAAGGTGAAGAGCCAGAAACAAAGTAGAACGTTGGGTCGAGAATGAGAGGCTGAATCAAAATCTAGATTAACAGCTAAGAAGTCATGATATAAGAAGTATAAGTTGACCAAAGTAGAATAATTCTCCTTTTGATCAAAATCCTCTACCGAGATCTCCTGACAAACAAACCAGGTGAGTAGAAAAAAAAAGACAAAAAAAGCTCCGATGTCATGAAACGATCACATCAAATAGAACCTTGCACGAGGTCTCTCCTTATCATTTTTCACGGTTCCGGACTGACATGTGAAAACGGGGACTAAAACTAATAATAACCAAGAAAATTGTTGAGATGAACCAGGGTCTCGATGCGATGATAAGATTGATCTTCCAATGGGACATTGTTTCCAGGTGGAGAACGCTTGTGATTGAGCCGCCTCACATGTTTGTGTATCTAAAGAGGCTGGAAGCTTTGTGTAGCTGAGAACTTAAAGAAACATGATCATTGAACGGTAAACTGACAGGGGCTGTTGAACTGATAGACTAGTTACCGTTATCTGTCAGAAGCACTCGGGAACTTACAGCAGAATAGCCGAAGAACTCAAACACAATATCCAACAAAGAACACCAAGCCAGCATGAGTTTTGTGCCACCATCAAGCTTTTAGCAAACAAATTACAAATGATCAATATTGTTTAAACTTCACTTCCAAATGATGTGTATTGAACTGTTCTCACAGTGCTCCATCCAATAATGCTTCCCATGCCTGCATGCGATACCTAAAATTCCATATGGACACCTTCATCCTGGGCCGCCCTGTTCCCTTTCGCCGTGCGCCAAACAAAAAACCAACAATATGCTAACTCATGTAACTTATTACAAATACCGCACGACCAATCTCTCCTGCATCCGATGCCCTGTTGCCGAAATGCAAAAATAATCAATCGCTCCAAACGGTTCCTTTTCAACCTGTGGTTCATGCCACTATTTCTCCAGTCCCCGTATACTCCCAGTTGAGACTTCGTCAAGTTCCCGTATCAAATACACATCACCAAAGGTTATTCATTACATCATGTCTCTGCCCAGTTGGTAAGACCAGCCTCCCTCTCGTCGGAGTCTGTCTCTGGCAGCGAGATCCTTTCGGATGTCCTCCTCGGTAAGACGATCGTTACCGCTCCAGTTAGCGCTCGAGGTTCGGGCGCGGAACTTGTGAAGCCGCTCTTTGCTGGCATGGAAAACTTCGTCCATGTTGATAGGTCCTGGTTCTCCGAAAATTGCTGCAGGGTTCATTCTCTCCTGTGCCAAAAGAGCCGCGCGAATGGCAGGAGAATTGGCCCAAGAGGCAACTGTTCCAGCAGGTGGTTCGTCGTCCTCCTCATCTTCATCATCTGTTTGAATCTCCGGGAGATCAATCGCATCACCGTTCTGGAATCGCGGCGATGATCTCTGGGCAGACTTAACCGCAGACTTGAGTCCGCCGACAGGACCAGGGCGTCCTGGTGTCTTGTAGGCAGGTCCTGCGGGGTTGGGGTTGGGAGCGAAGGGAATGGTTCCCTTGTGAATCTGCGCCATATCCATAGGGTTGCCTCCCTTGGTATGGCTTGGGGCATGGTTTGTCTTGAAAAGATTCTGTGCACTGGCTTGGGTGTAGCCATTGGTCAAGCTCTTCACCTGCAGGTCCTGATATATGTCAGTTGCGTTCAAGATATCACAGTTCGTGACAATGCTTACCTTCTTAAAAGCGCTGGATGGGCGAACAGGGGGGCCCTTGATGTTGGGAGGCTGTTCCATATCCAGCTCATCGGCATAATCATCGCTTGTTCGACGTCGCTTCGCATCCTTTGATTGGTACTGAGGACCACGGACAGGCGGTGGCCTAGAGACCCCGTCGTCATTGGGATCTCGACCGAGAGGTCTCTTGACTGCAGACTTAGAACCCTGGGCCAAGCTGGCATTGACAGGGCGACCCAAATCATCACCTGATCTGAAAATGCCCGAATTCATGCGAGAAATAGGACGGGGGATGCCGTCACCACGCTTAACCGAGTCGGGCGGGCCGTTAGGCTGGGATCGAACAGCGGGAGGCGGAGCAGGAGTCTTCTTAGCCTTCTCGATAGCTGCTTGACGCCTCTTAGCCTCAGCCTGCTCGCGCTTCTCTCGCTCTTCTTCTTGACGACGCAAGAGCTCTTGCTTCTTCTTTTCCTCCTTCAGCGCCGCTCGCTCTCGTTCACTCTTCGCCTTGGCATCACGCTCCGCCTTCGCCTTCGCCTCACGTCGGCGTTGTGCCTGGTCATCTTGAACCTTCTTCTGTGCCGCCAAATCAAGAGCTCTAGGGCGGCCATTTGATCCTGTTGAGGCACCAAATCCTGAGGCGGAGGACTTTGGCTGCATAGAGGCCTTGCTTGCCTTGCTAGGCATTTGTGGAGGCTGGGAGCTTGTTGACGCACCAAAGTCCTGGTAGCCATTGGTAGCGTTGGTGTTAGGATACAATTGTGAGCCGGTGTTGACCTTGATGTGAACGGTGGGCGCTGGCTTCGACTTTGTAGATGTCTCTCTACCTGGCTTTCCGATTCTCCTGATCTCCTTGGCGCGAGATAATTGGCTACCGACAGCAGATCGCGAGACAGAAGGAGGTGGCACCAAAGCAGGAGCGTCAACCATCTCCATCTCTGGTTCAGTAGGTTCCTCTTGAGGCTTGGCCCTTCGGGGGCTTGTTCGGGTGGGCTGAGGTGTAGCCTGCACGGGTGCTTCAGGCTCTTTCCTAGCTGCGGCCTGCTTCTCCATGTTGGCAAGCTTCTCTTGTTCCTTGCTGAAGACTCGTGCCTTTTCTCTTTCCTTCTCGCGCTCCTTCTCGAGCTTGTCCATCTGCTCGGCCTGGACTCGGGCTTCCTTTTCTCGACGTTTCTCTTCCTTCTCTCGCTCAACTGAAGCCCTTGTGCGCTTAGCAACCGGGCGAGGCTGATCAGTTGCAGTACTGCCACTTCTAAACGAGTCCATGCTTGGCTTGGGTGCGACCGACATCTCGGAATCGTTAGGGAATGTTCCGATTTGCACCCGAGAAGGAGAAAGCAGAGACGATTTGCTCTCAGCGCTCAATGCCGCGCTACTGGCCATAAGACCCTTAGACGTGCTAAGAATTGAAGACATCTTGTTCTTAAGGTGCTTCAAAGGACTGTCACGGAAGAGTCTTGAAGGGGACTTGGAAGGTGATGAAGAGGAAGCAACATTTGAGGCAACTGAGACAGCAGTAGCTGGTCTGGCAGGAGAATCTGAGCCGGATACTGTCTTCTTGAGGGGACTTCCCTCCGATCGTTCAGTAGCAGCGAACAATGTGGCAGCTGGTACTGAAACAGACTTGGAATGTCCCATATAGCTAGGCCTCTCGCGTTGAGAATTGGAACGAGCAGGTGAACGAATGCTAGCACGGTCCTCATCCAGATCGAAAGATCCGAGAGTCTGCTTGCCATGAATTCCTTCCATGACGTCGGCAGTTCGGCTCTTGGAAAGTGATGGTCGTGTGGGAACAGCAGCCTGCTGGGTGGGTGGAGGGACAATCCAGTCATCATCGTCGTCATCGTCTTGAGGGAAAGCTCCTGGAGTTGTCGTCGTTGTTTCGTGCTTCTTGGGTGATTTGGGAGAAGGCGACTTTGGTTCAGAAACAGATTGAGTTACGGTTTGCTGCTGAACGTTCGTTACACTATGGATAGACTTTGATGGTCGGCTGCCGTTTGGTTGCGACTTTCCAAGGACACTGATCTTGTCTTGGAGCATCTGTGTATATGTCTTGTTATGGTGCAGAGCAAGCTCTTCGGCGTTCTTAGATTGTTGTACGGGAAGCTCATCGACTTCCATATCGTCTTGGTCAGACTCGTCTGATGTATCCTGTCCCGCGTGGCTTGCCATGCTCTTGCCTCTCCCCAAGTAGCTCGTCCTCTTAGGATCCACATGACTTGTACGGGAGGCTCTGGCCTTGCCTGCTGTAAGAGGCTCTCGGGCAGGGAGAGAAGCAAATTGGAGACTATTACGGAAGCCTGGGCGCACAGGACTGGGGACGGGACTGGGGCCATCAGATTGAGACTGAGCATCATCGGCAACCTCGTTGTCCGCCGCCTCAGGCTCTTCCTCAGCTTCCTCCATCTCAGCATCATCAGTCGCTGGCTCCTGGTCCTTGACTGGAGAAGAAGTCTTCGTGAGCTGCTTCGCAGGTGACACACGTGTAGGACTTGGCTGGGGGGATTCGAGGTCTTCGTCAACATCAGTGGCATCCAGAAGTGACTCTTCATCGTCATCCATAGGATCGTAGGGCGCAGGGTTGACATCTTGACTTCCGAAATAACCTGAATCCTGTGGTTGAGATTTGGCGTCTGTGATGGCAACTGTCTCTTCATCAACAGTCATGAGGGCGTCCTGGTCAGAGTGGATAGGTTCAGCCTCGCTGGTAGGGTGTTGTGATACATCTTCAATTGGCACCTCGGGGGCAGACTGGGCAGGCTTCGGTGATGCGATGGCACGGCGAGGAGACGAAGGCTTGGCCTGGTTCAATAGCTCCCTCTGGGGCGATTGGGCGTAGAGATGCTGGGCGAAACGGTTTGCTGAACTTGTTGGCGTGCCACCAAAGACGTTCGACAATGGCTTCAAAGGGTTAATATTAGCCACCCTCGTGCATTGACCATGTGTACTCACCACTCTTGGTTCTGTTAATAGTTTACGCGCAGTGCGAGGTGTCTTTCCTCGAAGCTTTCCGGGTGTTTTGAATGTTTCGGCGAGGTTTCTGTGGAATGATCAGTATATATGTCGCGTCAAAACAAAGGGTCGATAACGCGTACGTCTCGTTCTCATTAAAGATATTAGCCATATGTTCGTTGAGCCATTCGAACTCGTTTTGAGCCGCGTATGTGAACTCATCAACCTCGACATCGACAATCTGAAGGGCAGAGGCGCGCTCATCAGCGACCCAAGCCGCTGAGCCAGTTGGAATGCGCGGTCCTCGCATTGCCGCCATCGTGTCGGTTGAGATTGGTAGCGTGCGGGTGTGTTAAGAAGCTGCAAAGCCAAGTATAGTCGTGTTATAGTGATTATGTACTCATTGGGTTGGGCGCTGAGGTCGAAGTCGAAATGTTTGGTGTTGTTGAAAGTTGCGAACTTGAAGTGCGAGAGGAGCTAGGTTTCAATAACAAAGAGGGATGTTTACCCGGATCCCAGATCCGGACTAGCGTTTAATGAAATTCCAAGTTCAGAAGTGGAACTACGCACAAGCTTCGATTCACGCCATTCGTTAATGTCAAGGTATAGTCTTATGAAACAAACAGCTGAAAGTGACAATATTTATTCAAATATGGTCGTTGAATGCTCACGATGACATATAGAGTACACAGATTGACTTCAACATCATTTTTACCATTAACTTCGACCCACAGAACAGTAAACGTCTCTATAGAAACCAAATCAGAAGTACCCTCTTTAACGCATGCAGCTTTCCATCAAGAATCAGGCACGTGCTGATAAGCCTTATCGGTCGCAACTATCTTGTTTACTTTCGCGTCCCTCCTACCCCCCTTGAAGTGCGGAGCGACGAAACAAAGCAGTAGATTCAACGAAGTGGCAGACGATTGACCTCGCCCAACATGAGGGTCATTGAAGTAATTATTGACGTAAGTAATCTTCATGGGTTCATATAAATCGAAAAGTGTTTATCTAACATTTTTACAGGGCTTCAAGTCATATGCCGTTAGAACGGTAATCTCAGGATGGTAAGCGATACATCAAAATAGTCAATGGCCTAAACCAACCGATATTCCTAGGGACGAGAGTTTCAACTCAATCACCGGTCTCAACGGTAGTGGAAAGTCAAATATCCTTGATGCGATATGTTTCGTTCTTGGAATTACCAGTATGGCAACTGTGCGAGCGCAGAACATACAAGTCAGTCACCGCCGCTTTGTTTATTCTTCTTCCTCACTAAATTTCAACGCTGTAGGACTTGATTTACAAGCGCGGACAAGCTGGCGTAACGAAAGCCAGTGTCACCATCGTTTTCGACAACCGAGAAACCAAGAAGTCACCGATCGGATTCGAAGAATATGCCACCATTAGCGTTACTCGACAGATTGTTTTGGGAGGCACCTCCAAGTACCTCATCAACGGTCACCGTGCACAACAACAGACTGTGCAGAACCTCTTCCAATCGGTTCAGCTCAACATCAACAGCCCCAACTTCCTAATTATGCAGGGTCGTATCACCAAGGTTCTCAACATGAAGGCTGTCGAAATCCTGGCGATGATCGAGGAAGCTGCCGGAACAAGAATGTTCGAAGACCGTCGAGACAAGGCTATAAAAACCATGGCTAAGAAGGAGACGAAATTAGTTGAGCTTAAGGAGCTCCTAAAAGACGAGATCGAGCCTAAGTTAGAGAAGCTACGAACAGAAAAACGTGCTTTCCTGGATTTCCAACAAACACAAAACGACCTCGAAAGACTGACCCGAGTGGTTGTCGCATACGATTATCTCAGATATCAGGACTCTTTGAGCCAATCGGCCGCAGATCTTGAAGGAAAGAAGCAGAGACAACGGGATCTCGAAGATTCAGCAGCTCGGTTGAAGAGTGAAATTTCTCATCTTGAGGAGGATGTTAAGAAAGTCCGTGCTCAGCGAGACAAGGAGCTCCGAAAAGGAGGCAAGGCTTCAGCACTAGAGGAGGCAGCAAAGAAGCACTCGAATGAGCTTGTGCGACTAGCAACCATCCTTGACTTGAAGAAGTCCAGCTTGGCTGAGGAAGAGGAAAAGAAACTTGCAGTGGAGAAGACGGTTTCGGAGTTGGAAGCTACTCTAGAAGATAAGACCGCTGCCTTCGAGAACGCAAAGGCCCGATACGACGCAGCAAAGGAAGATCTAGAACAGCAGAACAAGGATGCCGAATCCAAGGAAGAACTTCTGCAGACCTTGCAGACAGGTGTTGCTTCTAAAGATGGTCAGGAGAATGGTTACCAGGGTCAGCTTCAGGATGCGAAGAACCGAGCGACTACAGCAGCTACGGAGCAAGAACAAGCCAAAATCAAGATTGCACACTTGGAATCGCGGATCAAGGAAGAGGAGCCGCGTGCTAAGAAGGCGAAGGATCAAAACGCCGACCTACTGCGCGACCTTGAGGGTCTCAGGGCTCAAGCACAGAAACTCGAGAAAGAGCTTAGTCGACTGGGTTTCGAGCCTGGACAAGAAGAGCAGATGTACAAGAGAGAGTCAGAGTTGCAGCAGACTGTCCGCAACCTAAGGCAGGAATCTGACAAGCTGAAGCGTCAAGTCGCCAACACAGAGTTCAACTACGCTGACCCTGTGCCCAACTTTGACCGATCCAAGGTCAAGGGTCTCGTTGCTCAACTGTTTACTCTCGATGAAGGACATACAAAGGCCGGTACTGCGCTAGAGATTTGCGCCGGTGGTCGTCTATACAACGTCGTTGTTGATACTGAGGTGACAGGTACCCAGTTGTTGCAAAGGGGTAAGCTGCGCAAGCGAGTCACCATCATTCCCCTCAACAAGATTGCTGCCTTCAAGGCTTCCGCTCAAACTATTGCTACGGCCCAGAACATCGCTCCAGGCAAGGTCGATCTGGCGCTATCCTTGGTCGGATATGATGATCAAGTGTCAGCAGCTATGGAGTATGTGTTCGGTAACACCCTCATTTGTGCCGATGCGGATACCGCCAAGAGGGTCACTTTCGATCCTAACGTCCGCATGAGGAGTATCACCCTTGAAGGTGATGCCTATGATCCATCTGGTACACTGTCTGGTGGAAGTTCACCAAACTCCAGTGGTGTTCTTGTTCTTCTACAGAAGCTCAATGGCCTGACCCGACAGTTGGGCGAGGCTGAGGGCGCTCTGAAAGAGCTCCAGGGTCGCATCTCAAATGAGAAGGCCAAGTTGGATCAAGCTCGCAAGATCAAGCAAGGTCTGGACCTGAAGAGCCACGAGATCAAACTCGCCGAGGACCAGATCAGTGGCAACTCTTCTTCCTCCATCATTCAGGAGGTTGAGAACATGAAGTCAACCATCAAGGAGCTCAAAGAGAGCATAGCCGAAGCCAAGACTCGACAGGCCAAGGCAAGCGCCGATGTCAAGACGATTGAGAAAGACATGAAAGATTTCGACAACAACAAAGACGCCAAGTTGGTTGAATTGCAGAAAACCCTCGATAAGCTACGAGCAGGTCTCGGCAAGAACGCGGCTGCAGTGAAGACATTGCAGAAGGAACTTCAAGGCGCACAGCTTGACTCTGAGCAGGCAGGAGTCGACTTATCTGCCGCCCGAGAACAGTTGCAAGAAGTCGATGTGGCCATCAAGGCGCAGCAGAAGGACATTGAAGACCTTAACAAGCAGAATGCTGAGCTAAAGGAGACACACGACACAGTGCAGGCTGAGCTTGACGATGAGCGCGCCAAGCTACACCAGTTTGACGATGAACTTCGAGCTTTGGAGGATGCTACTCGTTCCAAGAACGCCCGTATTGCTGAGGAGGGTCTCGAGATGCAGAAGCTTGGTCATCTCCTCGAGAAGTTCCACAAGGAGCAACAAGGTGCTGCCGAAAAGGTCGCTCGACTTGAAAAGGAGTTTGACTGGATTGCAGAAGAAAAGGACAAGTTCGGTCGCAGCGGAACTCCTTATGACTTCAAGGACCACAACATTGGAGAGTGCAAGTCAACGCTACACAACTTGACTGAGCGATTCCAGGGCATGAAGAAGAAGATCAACCCCAAGGTCATGAACATGATTGACAGCGTGGAAAAGAAGGAAGTCTCACTCAAGCACATGATCAAGACCGTCATTAGGGACAAGCGTAAGATCGAAGAGACTATCGTCAGCTTGGACGACTACAAGAAGAAGGCTCTTCATGAGACATGGGAGAAGGTCAACGGCGACTTTGGTAACATCTTCTCCGAGTTGCTTCCAGGAGGCAGCTTTGCTAAGCTTGATCCGCCTGAGGGCAAGACGATTAGCGATGGTCTTGAGGTCAAGGTTTGTCTTGGAAAGGTCTGGAAGCAAAGCTTGACAGAACTGAGTGGTGGACAAAGGTAAGCAGCCCCAACCTCGGAACATTACTTCTGAGTCGTCACTAACATTAACTTTTAGATCTCTGGTCGCTCTATCGCTTATCATGGCTCTGCTCCAATTCAAGCCCGCGCCCATGTACATTCTCGACGAGGTCGACGCCGCGCTGGATCTCTCACATACCCAGAACATCGGCCGTCTGATCAAGACGCGTTTCAAGGGTTCTCAGTTCATCGTCGTCAGTCTGAAAGACGGCATGTTCCAGAACGCGAACCGCATTTTCCGCACTCGTTTCAGCGAGGGTACCAGTATGGTGCAGGCGCTTACTCCGGCGGATATGAAGTAGACTGACTAATGAACTGAGAAATGTCTGAAATGAGTGTATGACAGGAAACTGGGTGGGAGGTTTTGTACATGAGGCGTCGTTTTTGGCTAGGGGATATAATGTTCTTATCGGCATTAGGATTTCTTGTGATACCGTTTGTTTTATCAAGGCATGGCTGTGGAATAGACTTGTATTTAAAGTGCTTACATTCTGATCAAACATTGGCTGTCAGGTCGTGCTGATGTTGAGTTGACTGACTGAGATGATGATTGAACGTCCATATCAGCGATGGCATTACAAACTTCGACCAATTGATTATTGTTGATTATAATAAGATACCAGACTTTTGACGATATTGGTTATTATATCAACGAAATTCTTTTGTCTTGTTTAAAGCAATTCTATCTCACACCTTATCTACCCTAAAGATCCCAACTTTCTCAGCTCCCAAATACCGAGCCAGCTCGGATGGAAGCTCAACATCCATGTTCAACGCCATAGTCTTGCTGTCCCCATTCTTGAACTCCGCAAACGAATAGCCCTGTGATTTAATCTCATTCTCGTTTGGAAAGGACACCGGCAGGAGAAACTCTTTCTCTGGTACCGCATGCAGCCCGTAACTGAGTTTGGATGAGACGCGTTGTAGAATACCCTGTAGTCCCGCATCCGTCCACGGGAATCTCAGAACAAGAAAAGAGCCGTCGACTTTACCCAAGAGACGACTAGTTTTGTTCGAATCCGGAACCCAGAGATCGACGTCAATGGTGGCTAGTGCTGGGAATTGCTCTTGAGTCAAAGCCTTCCATACAACGTTATCATCGCCTTGATGGTCTGCCTGAGCAAATGTATACAAGTGGTTGTATTCACTGCTTCCAGAAGGGACTTGATCGCGTTGGAGCTCAATTCCACGACACAAATCTACCGGAAAGATCTGCACGTGTTGTGCAGTGGAAGACTTGCCGTCACGGGCCCGATGATCCGGTGATGAATCACGACTGAGGTTGATGTCTCGGAGTGGCACGCCGGCCCGTGAGTGGGTCTGTCGGAGGACATCACTGCAATCGACGGGAACGGGAGGGAAGAGGATAAAGATGGGGATGAGGAAAGCGACAAGTGTGACGGTGAGAAGTGTGAGTGACACAGCATCAAGGCTAGACACAAACTGCTTTGTGGCGTCCATCCCAAAGTGGATGCTAGAAAGCATCGTTGTCATGTTATCCAGCTGAATCGAGACTTGCAGCAGTAAGATGAATTTGGAGGGATGGTGCGATGCTAGTCGTGGTGCTGAGTCCCTCCGTTTTGGACGTGGAGGATTTTAGAGAGATTCGAATTTAATCTCCAATGCTGCATATGCAATGCGGTCCAGTTCAGTCCAGTTCAATTGTCTCGCAAAGCCTGCGCGATAAGGTAAAGTCGATGCCCAGTCTAAGGGTCAAAGTGTCAGTCCGGTGTTGTTAGGTCTTGAGTTTTTCGTAGATCTCCGATATTGCGGCCTTGTCTCCTTCACAGATTAACTACATCCACTAGGTTGTTTCAACTTTGATCTGTTCAAAGAATCGTGATAGGTTCGAGCATACAGTGTCTGCCCCTTCGACCTTGAGAGCGCGTCACACACAACGTAGCTCTTGAATCCCTTTGTTTTAGATTGCGGCCAGTCTTGCCAGGGTCCCAAAATCGACCCAGGCCCTGGTCAAACTCTGTCAATGCCATGGTACAATTTTACTTGGCTGGGCTGCAGCAGCGTTCGAAAAAGCGGAAATATCCACCATCTTATGCTGGATAGGGTAGCGCTTGTTCCTCTGTAGTACGTACATACTACAGTAGATTGACAGCAAGCTTTCTCCCCGAAACCCCGGAACGTGCAGCTAGCCGTCGAGCACAGCTACTGTAGCTACCTCTTAGCTACCAGCCATGGGCATATGGCATTGTCGTCCCGCACTTCCGAAGGGATTTGGTTGACAGAATAGTATAGGATGCTCATAGCATGATTGATATGTACCGTGCTTTCCAGCATAGTACAATGCATAGGTCAGGAACTGGTCTGATAGACAAGATAATGTTATAATGCAGTATGCCCATTGCAGATCGAAAATTACGTGTCTTGGTCAACGTGATGACGAACCGGGGAGGACACAACGGGTTTGGAATACGGATGTATTCGAATCCTTCAGCTCCTGCACTGCTTGCATGCTCCTCGTTCCCTACATATTATCCAGCAGTAAACAAAGTAGAATGTATTGAGATGCTCGGAGTGAAGAAATGCCGAGCAGGGTCACCGGCGGAATGGTTCACCCCGTTTCTTTGCTGAGCCTGTCACCGCTAGGGGCCATCTCTAGCAGGACCCTAAACGTTGGATGAACTTTAGTGCCACCGACAAGACCCAACGCTTGTCTAGGATGGCGCCAATCGTGCCAGTTCAGCTAGACTGGGGGTGAAATGAACACAGGCTCGTAAGTTCGTATCAAGGAAGAGCAGGAACGAAGAGCACATGGTAGGCATGCGAATCCTCGATTGTAGAGGTACCGTAAAGTGGACGTTTCCCACTTCTGAACCTATTGGTCAGCTCAGGCGCGTTCTCATCCATAACGGCTCCTTGATTGCGGATACTCTGACGCCGTTTGTACAAGTGCCGCTTCAGTAGTGGAGGACTGTCTTCTATCTGCAATTGTCACAGACAGAATCGCCGAGGTGCTTGCATCACAACAATCAGTGACCTGTTAGACATCTTAGATTGAAAGATAGCCCAAGAGGTGGATCGGTTCCCGTCTGATCCTGGTGTTCTTCATGCCGGCTGCGACCACCAGAAAATCCCCCTCTGCATTGATCGCCATGAGGCTGGTCGGACATATTCCTGTATTCATCCAAAACTTCCATTGCTCAACTCCAACTCCCTGTCGTGCCGACATCTATTCCATAGATGCCCGTACGGAGTACAGGCACTGACTCGTTAGTTAACTAAGGACCTAATGTGCACCAGGATCCAGCACAGCTGATGACCAGGGGTTCGCACATAGTTGATAGATGACCGCGGGCCTAAGAGGAATGCAGCATATTCTTTGGGCAACATGTTGTCAGATTGAGTCGTGGTGTGTTGCATAATAATGTCGTGCTGCTATACGTCGATTCGAGCGTTGGCAACAACTACCTAAATGAGACAAACTGGATTGATATCCAGCAGGGGTCAGCCTGCAGATCACATCTCATTCTGGAAGCACTGTCCAATGGAAGAAACAGAGAATTGCAGTCCAGAGGTGCCCATAAAGTCTCGGCGAAACCTCCGCGATAAGACTGTGTTGGTATGGTATGCCGTACAGCAATCTCACTTCATTGTTATAGTCGGCGGACAATGTTCAAAGAGTCAAAACAAGCCGCAGCCCCGAGACTCGGATCCGCGCCCCACTCGATGGATTTCAGGCTGAAAGGCCTGACTTGTGGTGATTTCCACATCATATTGCAAGGTCTACCCTAGGCTTCCTAGTGGAAGAATAAGAGTGAGGCTCGGTATGTACTGTTGGCGCTTGACTCACCTCCACCGCTCCCCGCAACCCCTCAATGAATGGTTTAGTAGCAGCTCTGATGGAAACTCCACCAACCATGGATACTTTGCCGTAATCGATGCAGAAATTATACCGTAGCTGTGCCCATCTCAGACACTTGATCTGACCCTCGTTTTCAGTATAACCTAGTCGTGGAATATGAAACGGCTTTAAAACGAAAGAAAGCGCTAAAGCCGAGGACTTTCGTAGACACTGTGGAGATTTGATGTCTAGCTGTCGTCTTGATATGACCACAGGAAAAGAGAGCCCCATGGGTCTTCTTTCAGAAATGTAGTATCCTGGCTCTTGTGTTATCGCAGAGTTCTACCTCACGATGTCACAGTAGTTTCCAGCGGCAAAAAGACCAGTCCCCAGCAGGATCAGTATGGCTTCTTAGCAGAGCACTTAGTCCTTGAATATGGAGCCCGCCAAGACAGCCGGATGCTGTTTCTCCCAAGACCAAGCAGTGCTTGCGTTCAAGGATGAACTCTGATTTAATGATGTAGAACTAATTTGTTTTGGTGGTGCTGTACCATGTCAATCCCTTTTCACGACGGGGCTTTGATAGTATGTATGGCCCCGATGCCGCTTTTATTATATTGTCAGGCCACTCCAAGAGTTTCCAGGAGAGTGTAGAGATGACCCGGGCCTTGCGAGGTTCCTGCACCTCCGGTAAGCATCATATCCTTTCAGGGAAAGATCAAGTATGTTACATGCGAACACAAGTGGAGGCTCATAGTAAGGACAATAATCACCGAAGTGGGTGCTGCCCTATAGTGAATACTCGCATTCTGAAAATCGCGAACCATCTTCAGCCAGGTGCTCGACTCCCCGAGTACTTGGCCATGTCCAATGTGAGAGTATTGAACCGCAAGCTGCATTGATTTATGGCCACCCTTCGGGATCCAATTGCTGTATGATGCAACCCTAGTTTCTGGAACCAGTGTACATCCAGTTCTCGATGATGCAAGGAAACCTCTACAACATTTCAACATCTGTCTCTGTTGTGGGGCATCTGTTGGTTGCTGTGTTTAGTTTGGCTAGGGCAGACAGCAGACAGGGCAATCCTCATTGTGGACATGACTTGTCATCTGCCCCAATGCAAAATATGCTGAGCTGTTGCTTAGTTTCAGGCAGGTGTATATATTCGACCCAACTCATTGGAGCGAGTCATTGTATGTGCGAGGATACGTAGCTACAAAGTCCTTTATCACAACTCGGTGCTGTTCACCTTGTTGGTACGCGTATGTATAGATGGATTCTGGGTTTCCAGAGGCTGGAAAGCCCTTCAGCCTGCAAGAAGTCGAGTCTCCCTCCATTGTCGATCCTTCCAATATCGATAGGGATGAACTAGCATTAAGTATAAGGCCTGCAAGCCTCGACGTTGAGACTAGTTGGATGGCCCGCGCAATGCATCAAAGTCAGGGTTGCCGACAAATATCGGGTGCCGGCTCCGGTAGAGAAGCGTCACAAGTTGAGCAACACCGATATCATCGTACAGGGCTATCGGCAGGGTATAATAATCTGTCTGCATGTGCAAAGTTGGAGCCCATGCAAGGTTGGTCCTCACTGGCCTGCATACATACTACTGTAGTCCCTAGCCACTACATGTATGCATTGTGGAAGGGTAGGTAGTGGGATACCAAAATATGCAGTATTGGACCAACGTGGTATGGTCGTATGTTGCCAGACATGGGTGCTTTGGTTTCAAAACCAACTCGAACGAAGGAGTTGAACACCCTGGGAGAAAATGTCCTAGATGAAAGCCATATGAGAACAAGCAGAGCTAAGGCAGCCATACTTTGTTCTACCCAATTTTGGCCGAGGGGATCAAGTACCTGGGCGGCATATGTCGTAGAATCCAAGCCAAGAACCTCCAGAGCCATCTCTTTCTCAACCCTGGCCTGGCGGTCAAGAAAGACCAGAAACAAGTAGTTTTCAGGAAATCTCCCCAGTCTTTGCCACGGGCCTGTTTGAGAGATGAGTACCAAGACTCGACGTAGGCATGATGTCGACGACAAGAGAAAATAGGTTCGCTGTGTGCCCGAACCAGTTCTCTGACAGCCATGACCCACAAAGACATTCTGCTGCCACGCGACTACCCACACGTAGTGCCGGGAGCGGGACTTGACATGACCCAAGCGTTAGGACATCATCAAGCCTCTCGCCGCATTCTGACCAGCCACGGCCAGAAGTTGGGACGTATTCGGACCACGGTACTATGCTCCGCGACGTTTCCTCGAAGCGTTACATGAACTTTTTTCTGTGCACCCTTGCTGATGGTGTCCTATCAGATCGCCATCTCAATTTTCTTGAGCCAGGGACCACAAGCACATTCCACTGCCAAGCCTGCCAATGACAGGTACAGCTATGTGAGGATGAGGAAAGTCCGCGAAGATGATTTCTTGTACGTAAGCCATAGCCGACAGAAGCAAAGGGCTACAGTTTGTCCAAGTAATAGACAAAATGGACTTCGAAAGTGAATCTTTCCTGCTCAAAACTCGGTATAGGGCTGTCGACATTATTGTGCTGCTAGCTCTCTCGTTTCAGTCCAGTCATTCCAGGAACTCCCACCCCGAGAATCCTGATAGGTTGCACCACCGTCGATGATTGACCCTGTTCATGGGTGATCCCTGACCACGTATAGTATCCGACAAGCGCGACGACGGCGCCAGATTAACATAAGCTGTGATTGTAGTTTTTCCGAGGGAGGATGACATAGTTGTACGGAATAATGAACGGTCTGATTATTTTGTATGCGGAAGATTTGACCGTTGAAATATTCATCTTGGGCCATTTTCTGTTTGGTCAGCCTCATTATGCTGATTGAACCGGGTTGTCCATCAACATGTATCGAGGATAAGGAACCAAGACCAGGGCTGGCCAGTGCGAACGAACAACCCCCAACTACAAGGATTGGCAACGATCGAGAGCTGTGTCTGCACATACACGTGTAGATCAAGAAGGGTGCTTGCTCGACCTTGAGTGGACTGAAGCTGAAAGAGGCGTGGGATTGCTGGGATTTGATGTTTGAGCCTATTCCTTATTGTTCAGTATTAGCTGCATTGGGTCAAGACCGATCATCAAATACAGGTACGTAGTTTCTGTATCATCCGTGTTTTCTTACCTGGACATTGGTAACCCAAAGCCAGGGAAGCGGTTCCGACTGCAAGAATTTAACTAAGGGCGACCCATCAGCTGCAAATGTCCGTCTGCGGCTTCGGCATTGTCCCAGTCAGGTTAAAGCCTTAACGGCAATTCAGACGGAGAGAAACAGGACCCAGGAGATCGGACGCATTCCATTCCATGTCGAAGAAAGCGGAGCTGTTCGGGGGTATTCGAATCCTGGTCGATTTAATAATTGTGAGGCAAGATTTTGGGGGGACAAAAAAGAAGGAAGGTTTGGATTAGTGCACCGAGGGAGAGAAACCTTGCGATGTCGATGGGAATCTACCCGTCCCTAGCACTTTCCAACTGATAAAGAGCACTTGCCTAGAATGAATTCCAGGGGAGCTTTCCATTTGGGAGGCAGGTACGTTTGTCGTTGGCAGAACTGGGGGGTGTTCCTTCCCGTTCCCTTTTCTCACTTTCACTCCCAATCCCTCCTCCACTTTGACAAGCTCAGCCCGCCCCACGCTCTATTTGGCAATAACATCATCCATCTCGTCACCCAATCCTTATTACAGCTTTTAAATCATCCCTGATACATCGATCATCGTGGCTGCTAACCGTATTCAACGCGCCGTTGATGGATTTATATGTCATTGTCAGCTTCGCACCTATATCACCGTTGTCGGTCCCTACTTGACGCGTCTTAGTCGGGGATTTCAACTTGCGGGCACGTCTCAGCCCTTGACCAATTTTTCCAAGCTTCTTCCTCTTCCGCCAATAGTCATACACTGAGACAGCTTTAACAGTAGCTAAGTCGCCTATTCTTAGCTGGTCCAGCTTCCGAGGTCTTGGAGACACAGCACTACGGATCGTATTACATCCACTTAGTCGCCCTGCCCTGTCTAGTCCGTCTTAAACTCAGTTCAATCATCTACATATTGATATCCGCACAAACTCGAAAAGGGTTCCAAACGGCTTCAGATCCTGCTTCACTAACACTGCCGCTGCATACGTTAATATCCGGATATTCCTGTCTTATTCCCATCACCAGAGTCGCATTAGAGCCCGGACCATCTACCCGCGATTGAAGGCGTGCCTGTCATTGAACGTGGGATCGTTCCCCTCGTCGAACACTCAAAGGGCACAAGCTCAAGCTCTTGGCCGGTTACCGGGACCCACGAGCCCGGGCCTTTCATTGATCAGCGATTTGGCGCCCCGTCAGGCCTGCATACGACATAATCCCTTTCTCAGGGCCCAAGGATAGCTTTGGCTTTCATCCTCATCCCAGGGGCTCAGCCAACTGCATAGCCAATCCACTTGAAGTCAACACATCCCCGCTGCTGCCGTTTCCTCATAGACGCCCCCCTACGTGGATCTGAGGACCAGTAACCAATTTAATGTCCTGCTGCTAAAGGGCACTGACAACTTGCATCGATCAATCTCTCCTCCCTGTCCTGGGTGAGAGTGCCCCTCTATTCTCTGTTCTCTAGCTAAAGTGCATGTATGCCTTTTGCTCGTTATTGCAGGCCCCTCCCACAATACAACTATCTTGGATTTCCCTCGCCATTGACCTGAACGCGATCTTACAAAAACTTCATCCAGCAAGGAATAGCCGGACCTCGCATTCAAGATCTGTCGATTGTATTGTTGACAAAAAGCAACAACAGCTAACTTTGCAACTTTGATTACTATTTCTCTTCTCTAAGGACCTCTTGAAAGTTGTTGCGCACCATTACAATATCATCTTTCATATTTTGCTGTTGTTCAACTTTGGACAGGGTCAAGTCCATTCGCCAAGTCACTCCCAGGACACTACCTTTCCTTGTTGGGAAAGAAAGCATTCCATTGGAACTTTCCTATAGTCTTATCAGCTTGGAGCTGGCTCATCGACCATCAGTATTCAGCTATTTGATACTCGATATTCTTTTGAAGCTCAGGATATCGAAGAGCAAACCGCCCTGTTTGAGTTACGCCTCTCAGCAGACCTCCCTCACCCAGTAGATACTGCTCTCGAAAGCATGCAAATCACGACCTGTTGATTCGCTCTCTACTCCGGCAAGCTTGCAGTACCTACGTGACTCGAGCTCAACTACTCGTCTATACAATGGGAGACTACTACCACCACTTTCTATCATCGATGTCTGGGGCAGGGATGAATCCGACGACATCTTCAGAGGAGATGCTTGACCCGCGGATGCATGGTGCATCAGTGCATATGATGCCCGCTACAATGCCGGGTCCTTACCAACAGTTGGGGTACTTTACTGGATTCCCAGATCCGATGATGTTCAATCCAGGCAAATCACAGAAGGCTCGCCGAAAGTCAGCAGCCGGCACACCCGCGGCAGTTGATCATGTTAAACATCGACGGACTCGCTCTGGCTGTTTTATGTGTCGAAGTCGAAGAGTCAAGGTATGTGCATCGTAATATATATCTGAACAGTGTATCTAACTCGCCCAGTGCGACGAAACCAGGCCAATTTGCGAACGTGGGTGCAGAACTGAACTACATGTCGCGTGAACGATATCAATATGCTGACACTGCCAAGGTTGCAAAAAGGGAAATCGAGAATGTGTTTACCCTGATCCCCCATCGTCAAAAGCTTCGAGTGGTAAAACTAAAGATCCCAATGCATCCGCACAACAAACAAGTCCTACTTCATCGAAGTCAGAAGATGACGAAGACGCTGAACGAGACATCAAACTCGAGACGATAGTCGATGAAGACGAAGAGACAGAAGATCAGACACGGTCGCCGGAATTCTCCCTGCAATCAAAAAGCGCCTCCCCTTCCACTGCGACAGCTACTCCAAGCAGTCTGGCGGCTGTGTATCCCTCTTCCGAGTTCCCCGTCAGTCTTGGAGATACCGACTGGTCCCATTTGCCGCCGCAGTATCAGAAAGGCCTTTCTTTCTTCGTGGAAAATCTCAATCACTTCAATTATTGCATACCGCTTGACTCGGACGAGTTTTTCACAAAGATTCTGCCCAATCTGGCTACCTGCCATGAACCATTATTGAATGCGGTTGTTGGTTTCTCAGCGTATCATTCCACGCTGCAAAACCCAGAGGGCAAGCTTCAAGACTTTCTCCAATACTATAATAAAAGTGTAACACAGTTACTGGGTCTGCTGCAAAGAAAGGAGAAGCCTAACATTGCTACTCTTCTGACAATCCTGCAGCTGGCTACCATTGAGGTATGTGTTGCCACGTATTCTTCGATTTCGGTCCTCGTGAACTGACCATGCGGCTTAGGAATATTTTGGTGACTGGGTCAATCTTATGGGCCACCAAAAAGCGGCTTTTGGGATAATAACGAGTATTTTCACCCCGCAGACCGTAATGCGAACCCCCGTAGGTCGCATGTGCCTCAGCTGGTATGCTCGGTTCGACAGTTTTGTTGCCTTGATGGGAGGCTTCCCCACCGATCTACCTCGAGAGTGGTTCCAGGCCATGTTGGATTTCTACAAGTCAGGAGTTGCGGCCAACCCAGAAGAAGTACACTGGAAAATCGATGAGTGGTCCGCTCAGCTTCGCCTAATTTCCTACGATATGTCGATCTTGTTTGCGCGAGGCAGTAGAGGCCAGATATCACCCGAAGACTTCGTCAAGGAACACGAACTTATCAACCAAAGACTGATAGACTGGAAGGAGAAAAGAGACCCTGCTCTCCAGGACTCGAAATACCTTGTTCGGGATTTTCCCCCTCCTGAAACACTTGACCCAGAGGACTTTGTCAACCCCTATACAGTTGGTATACTCTACGAACGCCCGTTGTTCGACGTCACAGTTCTATGTGCGGAGTGGAACAGTATTATGATAATGCATAAATGCCAATCATCAGGCATGAGGCCAGATCAACTGTTCGCGGATCTCAATCGGCATGCATATAGGACCTGCCAATACTTTGAAACACTAGAGTTCTGGCCTTCCACGCCCAGAGGTGTCCTAGTTCTAATACAAGCTTGCATCGCCATTGCAGCTTTGTTCTGTCCTCAGGATGCACAGCACCATATGTGGTTTCGTCGAAAGTTCGCGCTACTGGAGACGATGGGGTAAGAGCATATTCACTTTCGTGGCTTGCCATGAAGGATTACCGGAGAAACAGATGCTAACAGTGACATAGGTATATCCATCCTTTGCCTTTGCGCACCAAAATGGCAGAAATGTTCCGAGAACCTTCTTGCGTACAGTGGTGGCTTCCCAATGGGGAGGGATTTAGCCCGGTGTTGCAAGAAATTCGAAACTTTGCGGATGAACGCAATGCGGCAGCTGTCACGGCTCAGCAGGAGAGTCTCCGCGAGGTACGACATATTTTTGCCAAGATGTCGTTAATGGATGATGCCAACGCCCCCTCGAGTTCGACCCTCGATACTACCTCGAAGACGGGGACGAACCCACCTGCAAAAAGCTAACAAAGGGTCGAGGGACACACTGCAATGCCACAAATTATTCCCTGGTCTTATAACCAGGGTAGGACTTTATGTTTCAGTATACTCGTATTTGGGCAAGCATGGGGTGCATGCAACGTATCTGCATGGACAATGTCGGGTTTCTCTTCTTTCTTTGGTGACAGCGACGGATTTTAGACTAGAAGACGGTAGAAACGACGGTGATGCTTGATTGAAGAATACTGGTCACAGAGTTATCGTTTTTGGAAACTGATGCCCATGGATAAACCAGGGAAACATATATAAAAGTACAAATTTGTGCATGGCACAAGCGGGAGTTATGGAACAGATAGGATCTCACTTGAAATTGCAAGTGTTAGCTTAAAACCAGATACGCACGGGAATATGAGTTAGTACTCAATTGTATTATTAGATAGATATATTAGATACCGTGGCGGGAATTATACTACTGGTCTACCATATCCCGAAAACAAAACGATCTAAGTTCAATGAACATCGCTCTCTATGGCTCCCTTCTCATTTATCATTTCTCGTCCTTGCTTTCAGTCCCAGATGTGGAACTTGTGGCTTTCTCCTCATCTTCAGGAGACTTGTTCTCAGTATCCGGCGTTGAGCTAGAGTTATCTATAGAATCTGCATCTGGTGCTGAGTCTGCAGTGGCCCCGGGCGAACTTTCAGCATTTTCTTTAGCCGAGTCTTCCTCAGGGGCGCTCTTCTCTTCAGGTTCTTTCGACTCTGTTTTTGAGTCAGGTTCATTGGTTTGAGCATCATCATCATCTGCAGACTCCGGCTCAGATGCCTCTCCAACAATGGTTTGGTCAGCGTCCTCGGCATCGTCGTCCTCGTCATCATCCTCATCTTCATCATCATCCTTTTCCTTGACTTCTTCCTTAGGTCCACGAGCTTGGGCCTCGGCGTCTCCTATGACTGATTGCTCAACAATAACAGGGACCTCGGCAACTTCTGGCTCTTCTTCCACCGGCGAAGGTGCGGTGAGGTGCATATTTTTCAGCTTTCGTGATACTCCGTCTGGCCCCTCCTCCTCTTCGGCCTCGATCACAGTTGTCACGGCACTTCCTGTTGAAGGGCTGCTTCGAATGTGTCGACGAGTGTTCGTTCTTGTGGGATGCATGTTATCTTCCTCGGTAGGGGGGCCTCGTTGGTGCGATGAAGGCTTCAGAATAGTGGGTGGGGGCTGCGCAGCCTCCTGTTCGACTTGAGGCGCCTCGAGTCCTTCTGCTTCAGGTGGCAGCTTGTAGTTCTCGGCGGGTAGCAGGTCGTACAAATCGCATACTGTCTTGAATAGGACATATAGCCCTGTCTCTCCCTCAACAGACCAGAAAACCCCACGGTGCTGGAACCAGGCGTGGGCAAATATACGATGCAGTCTGCGGAAGACATTGACGAGGTTCTTCACACCAACATTCTTGCTATGAGTGTCGTTGTGAACCACAAAACGGCTGGGGAAGATCTTCTGGTCGGTCACCACGTTGGCAGCCCAGTCCAATGTATGGCAACAGTAGTCAATGGCGCAACAGCTCTTAGGCTGCTCATGCACAGCACAAAGAAACTGCCACTCGGAAGCGCGCATCTCGGGGCACGTGTTCGCGCTGCATGGCGGGGAGTCGAAGAGGAAACCAACGATCAAGGAGTTGCATTGTGAGATGAGGAAGCGGCAGAGTTCATAGAGCCAGATGGTTCGGTCTACGCCGCTAGGAGGCGTCGCAAGCTGCAATGCGGTTTCGCGGGTAATGGGTCGAGTATTGGAAGCAGTATGGTAGCAATGGAGAGCGGCGAGGTGTTCTTGAAGTTGGAAGGCAGAGTCCAGCTGGGTCTTGTTAGCTTGTAGGTCATAATATGTTGACAGCTGGCGCAAGTACCTCATGGAGGGGTATCAAAGGGGGGCCAGCAGCCATGTCTGCCGCTTTCGTTCCTGGATGTATCCGTCGTCTGGAGCTAGCTTCAAGCTGTGTCTGTTCCTGAGGTGTTGTCTGAAGACTGGCTGCTGGGCCGCCAGACGGAGACATGGGCGCCATCTGGATTTCGGCTGCTGGCGGAGGGCTTGGTAGCCTTGGTGAACTCGGTCCCAACGACATGATGGGCAAGATATGAAGTTGAGTATGGAATATGTAAGAAGATCGAATTCTGGCCAAAGCCGGGCGCTTAATTCCACGAGGCTGCGCTGGGTTGACAAGTGGCTGGGCAGGGCTAAGCTGGGGGAGTTTCAGAGTGGAGATTCGATATATGCATAACAGAACGGGGGAGCAGCCAAATGCAGCTAAAGGGGGGACGTGCAACTTACACGCATCTGAATACTTCCATGGTTTCTGCAAGAACCTGATATAAAAAGAAAGGTAAGTATTTACATAATACAAATTTTAAAATATTCGGAAGCTGTTTTCTTGCAACCCAGATTTTAACATCATCTTCAAACGGTAGACACGATCCAACGTCTTCCCACACTCAAATTTAACGTCAACTGCCAATCTGTCACCCTACAGCCATGGATTTTGATGACGATGCCCCGCCAGAGTTGGTCGATACGACCACTAACGATATCGATGAAGAGATTACAGTCAAAGTCCCTATCACTATCGTGACAGGTACGGCTGTTATTCTAAATGAGTTCCAAGGTCTAATCATGTCTAGGGTATCTTGGTGCTGGTAAAACAACACTGCTCAATTACATCCTCACAGCTCAACATGGCAAGAAGATCGCCGTCATCATGAATGGTTAGGGAAAATCGCAGCTTTTCAAAAATGGCAACTAACTCAGTACACAGAATTTGGAGACTGTGAGTGTTTAGAAGATGATTACTTTTACTTTTCTAAGTGGCATTACAGCACTCGACATTGAGAAGTCCCTTACCGTGAACAAAGGAGACGAGCAAGTAGAAGAGTGGCTAGAAGTTGGCAATGGCTGCATCTGCTGCTCTGTTAAGTAGGTCAAAGATGCGCAATAATCATCATCTTACTGACGCATGACAGGGATACTGGCGTCAATGCTATTGAGTCCTTGATGTCAAAGAAGGGTGCTTTTGATTACATCCTTCTCGAAACCACTGGTCTGGCTGATCCTGGTAACCTGGCACCTCTTTTCTGGGTGGATGACGGACTTGGAAGCACCATTTATCTCGACGGCATCGTCACCTTGGTGGATGCCAAGAATATTGTGCGAAGTCTCGATGATCCGAAGGGTGTTGTTGAGGGGCACGACCACGATGGTCACGGCCCTGTCATGACCACTGCTCACGTCCAAATCTCCCATGCGGATGTGATTGTAATCAACAAGGCTGATATGGTTTCTGAAGAGGAGCTCAACCAGGTCAAGGAGAGAATCCAGTCAATCAATGGTCTCGCCAAGATCCATGTGACTGAGAGGAGCGTAGTCCCCCAATTAGAGGGATTTCTGCTCGATTTACATGCATACGACCAATTCAATGAATCGGATGCCAACGCCAAGGGACACAGTCATCTTGACCCCGTAAGTATTCATCTCTTCAGGATCTGCAAGAAAGTAAGTAGCTGACCGTGCAGACCATCTCGACTGTCACCATTCCTGTCGGTCGCCTTGAACCAGGACAACTGGACACTGTCGACCGCTGGCTACGATCCGTTTTGTGGGACAACAAACTACCCGGAGAGCAACAAGAGGGCGACTTTGAGATTCACCGCTCAAAAGGACGGCTGGTGTTTACCAATGGCGATGTCAAGATGTTGCAGGGGGTGAGGGAGGTTTTTGAGATAAATGACGGGCCATCGGGAGATGAGACGCCCAAGGACGGAAAGATCATTCTGATTGGAAGAAATGTAGCGGGTGTTGGCTTTGAAGACAGTTTCAAACAAGCGATCAAATGATTCACGGATAGATACAGTATCTAGGATGTAAAAAAAGATGTACTCCGTACGGAAGATTATGATGAACGTCAAGTTGAACGGCTTTATATAAACCAGAGTTTATGGCTTGAACTCTGAACTTGTGAGGCTTATAAGAGAAGATATAGAGAAATCTTGTGAGGGGAGAATTCAGAGTCATTGAAGCCAAATGTCACATTATGATCTGTAGAATTTCTACTATTTGTCCAGCTTCAGCCTGTCACATTGTACTAATACACTGTATTAATGCAGTTACCAGAGACATTACTGTCGTTTGCCATGATGTCGAAAAGTACCCACTTATTTCCGCTCACGGATCATCATCCATCCACCTTTCCAAAGTGCCGCCAGCCTTCTCCAACACAGCAACAGAGTCCAAGGCCAGGCTCAGCCCTGAAGTAAACGATCGCATCGACAAACCACCTTACCCTTTTGTCTTTCTCAGCACAAAAAGGCATCGACGTCGCACCGAACCAACATTTTGCCACGACTTGTCCATTTTACAACATCGCACCGCGTAGTCGCTCGCGACGAAACCTCTACAATCAATCATGAATAGGCCAGGTAGGACGCACCCCCACGACCTTATTCTTCTGCAGCCTCCAGACCCCGCGCTGCAAGCGAAATCTGCCAATATTCGTCCGTCACCTCTCGTCTCGTGCTTTCAAGATATTACTGCGCCGCGAGAGAAATGTGCGCCAGCATAAGCATTTCACGAGCTCCACGACTCCCTTGGCCACCTTCAACCCCTCCGTCGAACTCAATGACCCTGTCCATTTACCATCGGTATCGACTCAATGGATCTGAACGCGGATCAGTGTTAGGTCGGGGGACATTGGAGATGGTGTTATGACAACTGCAAAAAGATTCAAGCGAGAATTGGCAGGATAACGCTGACGATGTCATCGAATCGCAGGGGCAGTGCCACAGTCCCTCCGCGGGATGCCTGGTGGATTTGGAGGTCAACAGCAGCAACAACCACCCCAACAACCAGGACGAGCTGGAGCGAACCGATTACCGAACGGAAAACTAGGTACGCTGTACCGGGACGTTTGCAATTTATGCGCTGTGTTGTGTTGGCTGGGCTGGGTTGCATCAATATTGGGTGGGCTTAGGCTAATATTGGCGAACAATTATAGGAAATAACAATTCTGGCTGGGCATTCGGAGGGGGTCCCATGGCAGGAGCTGGTCCCCAAAATGCCGGACGTCAACTTGGCGGGAACGTGAGCTTTGCGCAAAGCTTGTCAGGCTCCCAACCTTCGACATCCCTCGACTTGTCGTACGTACACCTGGTCTGAGTCCATACCCAAGGAGCTTTGACCCTTTTTCTGGCCTTGGATTATTGCGACAATCTATTGATAAGAGGCGCCTGCTGATATTATATAGCGAGTTCCCATCATTATCCAACAACGCCCAAATGTCGAATGCCAGCCAGTCATCTATGTGGTCGACTGCTGGATCGCGCAACTTGGGTGGACCCATTCAACGTAATCAAGCTACTCCTCAGCAAGGTGGTCAGGATGACATGTTCAGTCCCACCTCATCAAGAGTACCAGGCGGATTCAGATTCGGTAACCAAGGCAACATTGGACAACAACCTCAACCGAGCAGCGTTGATGATTTCCCACCACTCAACCAAACTTCGAATGGCGAGATGGGTTCGGATAGGACAGCGAACCTGATGTCGTCTCTAGGCTTTGGTTCCCAAGCTGGTCCTGGGCCTTCGACAAGCAATAGGGGGAATGGTCTCTTGAATGCATTGTCGGCTAACAGTCGAGCTAATGAAGTGAGATCACCGCCTGGTATTGGACCTCCTGGTACGTTTATTGCTGTCTCATCCTGCAAATGAAAGTACTCACCCGTTCAGGCTCCTCAAGACCACAAGATGGCAAACCCCCTGGGTTAGAAGAAGACCCTCGGCAAAAGTCAACCCGGGAGGATGGCCCTATTGACGCTTCCCCGGCAGCAGCTTTCAACAGTGATTCCGTTTCTATGAAAGCTAAGGAAGATCTAGATTCTGATGTTGTTGATCCTCTCGCCGGCATGCCTGATGCGGACAAGTGGGGGATCAAGGGTTTGCAGACATTAATGCACAACTACCCCGACTACCATGCAATGGTGGTTGGTATGGACCCCAACTCTATGGGACTTGACATGAGCTCTCCGGAGTAAGTGAGCTTACATCATGCCAGGACCTTGTACTAATGTATGTGTAGGATGTTTTCTACACAGAACTACTCGCTCTTTGACGATTCACCTCCCAGAGTGCCGCTTTCTAATGGTAAATTTCGATTGCCGGAATGTTATCACGTAACAAATGTGCAACCGATTGAGAGCAAGATTCAGAGCTTCAACGAGGAAACCCTATTTTGGATCTTCTACAGTTGCACAGCGGACGTGAAACAACAAATGGCTGCGGTAGAGCTGTAAGACATCAATCATCAGTCTATTGTATTATCCACTAACAGTTGCCTAGACATTCGCGAAACTGGAGATGGCATAGAAAGATGGAGTTGTGGTTGACAAAGGATGAACATATGACACCTCAAATCTTGAGCCCTAACCATGAACGTGGCTTCTACATCATCTGGGACCCCAGCCTATGGCGCAAGGATCGCGTATGTTAACCCTGCTGGATTCACTTATTGACAGAAACTAACAAACACACAGAAAGAGTTCACACTCCACTACGGTGACCTAGATACAACATTGAACCAGGCGCAAGTCGGGCCATAAGGAGGTCATATTTATCATATGAGACAATATCCCTCAGGTACAAGAGAGCAGGTGAATGATACGTGTGTAACGTATAAATGGGCGTTATGGCATCGAGACAGGACAACTGTCTATTTCTCGTGGGGATGGATCGGACCTGGGTTATGAATGAACGCTCTTCCATTACTGAGGACTGGCTTGTCGCCTTGATATAGGACTGTCGTGTCAATAAACGATGCTTTTCAGTTCTGCGCAATATGTTTGTGTAACATGTGATGTTATCTATGTCGGTTTGGATCTTTTCAGAAAACTCAAAATTCACTTGCAAAGAAATATGAGTTTGTGTGTTGGCAATCTTCATTGAATTCCCCTGGTATATGAGGTTGTCGTTGATGCCATTAGCCGAGGATTCCCCATGTAATTTCCACGTCGCAATCGGCGGAGCTGGAATCTCCCACCTCTTCCCCCCCGTCTTTGTGGGTACGCAGGCACGTTGGCGTAAGAATAACGCTTATTACGTGCACTCGACCCACGACCCAAGCTCTCTAGCTCTTCAACCTACAACTGTACATAATACTTATCTACTACCATCGTCTTGGCTCTATCCTTTGGGTGACACGCCCCTCACCCATATTCTTGGTCTTCCAGTCTCCGCAGCGAATCGTTTATTCTCGCGTGTACGATACGATACTCTACAACCATGTCGGACGACCAGATCTCGCTGCCATATCTACTGGCCATCCTGGTCATATCTGGCCTGGCGATAAGATATATGTTCTTCGCAGGACCTTCGCCACCTCGACCTGCACAATCTCCCGAGGCATTCCTACGATCGCGAGAGATTGCTGTTGATAGAATACAGCAGATGTTTCCACAGGCGGATAGACGGAGCATTCTCTGGGATTTACAGCGCAACGGGGGGAATATCCAGACCACCACTGAGCGCATACTTTCAGGACGTCTGGACACGGTATGCCGAAACTCTCTGTCTCATGAAGACACTCGTCAAGGACCCTTTACTGATCGTATTGTTTAGCCCCCCGTTACCTTCCAGCCACCACCTCTTCCAGGCCAAACCGCAACAAGCAGCAGCGCAGCTTCAGCGCCTCGACCCGAGAAGCCCGCGCAGCCGGATCTTATTACCCGATACAACCTCAAGAGCAAGCTGGATACTGCATCACAGGAGGACCAGGATGCTAAGGGAAAGGGCTGGAGTTCGAATAAAGACGAGCGCCAAGCTTCTCTGCAGCGCCGGAGAGATGAGATGATTCTCGCTGCGCGACGAAAGATGGAGGCCAAGCTTGCGGCCGAGAAGGCGGCCCAGGGAATTCAATAGGGATAGTGTATCATGCATTCGTGCTTTTGATATTTGGTTTGTGGTGTTCAAACGGCCATCTCCTTCCTAATCCGATAATGTGATGGCTTTCATGACACCTCTAACTGGTTGCAAGAAATAAGTCTCGAGATCTACATTGATACATCCAAGCTCGTGTGTAAGCTAACCAGGGCGTGCAAGAGTCTTGTTGATCGCATGTACATATATATGACTTATGAATGTATCATATTGACTTGGTGTACCTGCCCAAGGAGGTTGGTTATACATAAATTTTAAGCAACACAAGTCTTTAACCTGCTTACCCTCGTGATGCATCTCTGTCATGACTTGCTGTTTAAAGTCTCGAATGATGATGTCAAGTACAGCAGATGATATGTGGCAGTGCTTGCGTGGCTAGTGTGGCGGTGCACCCGTGGACCAGTGTTAGCCAGCTCCATGTCAGTGACAGAAGAATTGGCCGTCGAGAGCACAAGAGACGAAATCATTTGGCCACCTTATGCCGGCCCAGACTAGCACTTAGGCTACGCCTCAGAGAACAATTCTTCTGTACCCCTGCCAGCTGGTAGTGAGTGTTTGATGAAAGGCCTCCAGCTGATATGAGAGGAACCAAAAGATCCTTTCGTTTGTAGACATACAAAACTACTATACACTACCTTATATTCTGATAAATGTCTTTCCTACACTAAGTCAGAAGTTAAACAACTATCAAGATTTCCCCATTGTAATTGCCAATCTTCATTTTTTGTAGCGCTCATTGTTGAAGTTGGCAACAATAGAGCCTGACAGGGCCCTGACAATTATACCCAGTCCCAAGGTGGGGTCTTATCCTGGGGATCTTTGGTTGCTGGTACAAAAGAGACCCCGCCACATGTTTGTTTTCTTCCACAGACAACGAGACCCTGCACATTGGAACCGAAAGCGTTGCTGCTGGTATTCTGACAGCGCTTTATTGTGTCAGAGGGTTTCAAATTCATATTGATTTCCTCACACAAGTTTATTATTCTCCGAAAGGTTCGTGGCGTTACGACTCATTTTACTGCACTGCGATATTCAGGGTCCAAAGATCAAAGCAAAAGGCGAAATCTAGAGCTGAGCCACAGTTATTCAACGCGGCCTCGTGGTGCGTAGCAACTGGGGTCAAGGTACTTCTCAAGTATCGCCCACCTTTAACTTCACTCATCCACCTGCAGTGACGGCCCCTAAGTCTAAAAAGGTACAGCACCCTTCGTCAGATCACTGCCAGCGCGCAAGCTTCGTTTGTTCTTACTTCAGCCGTCTACATATTTTTTTTGCCTTTCGTTACATATCGGTTTTGTGAAACCATCAGCTAATAATCTTTCCGTCCCCTCTTCAGGCCTACCTTCATCTTGACTCTGCGCATCTTGATCCGATCCTCGATCAGCAGCCTCACCTCTGTCTAGAATTTGACGTCATCCTGGTAAGTCTGCGTCTTCCTTGAATCAGCTTCATGCCAATCAGTGCCGCCAATCAATCTCGGTCTTTTGCTGCGCATGGCCAGAGACACAGATACCTGGGACTGCCCCTCGGCTCCAGGTCTATCCTTGCGATGTTGCATGGGTACTTCGGGAGGTTCCTTTGCTGTACGCTTATGAGCTCAACCTTTCAACACCAACTTGATGTCTCCGCTTCTTGTAACGACTTGTGTATGATTATTAGTACTAACTTGCGACCTCAAAGCTTAGTGCGACGACTTTCTACATCAATCCGAATTGTTAAACTCTCATCTGCGTACAACGCTTTACAGAACTGTCGAACGGTCGCTCGAATAACATCGTACCCTCCCGACGACAACCTTCATGACTCCTGCCGGACTGCTTAGCTGTTGATAATCGCCTACTTAGTCGTCAGACCACAACTACTAAGATTACAAGTACAAACAAGCTATCATTGCTTTTGATTGCCAGTCTGCTGGGGCCCTTCGATTGCGATGGGTACACCCCGTGACTACTATGCAGACTTAGAGCTGCCTCCAACGGCCGACGTGCCGGAGATCAGGAAGCAATATCGAAAGCTTGGTATGAAAATAGGGTTACTTTCCCTCGAAAAACGCTAACGCGGAACGCAGCTCTCAAATACCATCCGGACCGCAACCCTGGACGAGAGCAAGAAGTCAATACCAAATTCCAGATCATCCAAACGGCGCATGAAATCCTTTCCGACCCCGAACAAAAGGCCAAACATGATGCCTTACGAGGTCGCGGTCGTTTCCCGGGCGCTTCGGGTGTTAAGGGTAACCCGTGGTCGAATGTGAGCGCACAATATCCGCCTCCGCCACGACGCAATAATGGTAACAACACCAACCCTCGAACGACGCCGTCAGGCGCACAGAGATGGCAAACACGCTTCTCATCCGGAGTCCCTCCCACAGCAAAGCAGTATACCGCATCAGATGCCGAGTCGAAGAAGAATGCTGCGCGAGCGTTTGAGAATATGCGAAAGGGTGCATCAGCCAAGACAAATGAACAAACACGTCCTCCTCCACCACCTCCCCCGCCACGGACAGAATCCGCGAGACAGCGTGCTGAGGCTTCTTTCGGTGCAAGAAAGACAGGGTTCCATCCTCGTACAGCTATGGGCGATGAGCCCCCTGTATCGAATAGCAACTATAGCTCGCGACCAGCTTCGGAACGATACTCACAGTCATACGCTCAAGAAGACCCAAAACCGCCTGCCCCCCCTCCAAGGCCTCAGCCGACAGCAATGCCAGATCCCTTGAGCCAGTTCAGAGATCGAGACAGCTGGGCGGATCCTCGACAAAGCAGTCCGTATAGCTCCAACGGAGGCGAAAAGACCAACCCTTTTGACAGCGTTCCAATAAACCGAGCCAAGAGTACACGAGAGACCAATCGCCAAGAACAGGATTCACCGGAGAAAGAAGCGTTCAACCGACAACGTAGCGCTAGTGCACCAAAGGGCGGCAAGAGCGAGGAAACTCCTGAAGAGTCTTCGATACCTCGTGATCCCGCAGACCGTCCCAAAGCTCAAATGAAGAAGACTCGCAGTGGCTTCAAGAGCGTACCACTAGGGCCCAATCAGCAAGCTACTGAGGTTCCTGGAACCGAAAAGTGTAAGTTGTACTCAAGACTCTTCAGAAATAATCAAGTTATTAACAAGTTTGTAGCAGCCGAATCACCTAGCGGTCCTTCAATGTATGACATTCCAACTTCTGCAACTTCTAAAACACTTCATCGCCCTATGTCGAAAAGCTTCAGCCAGTGCCTGGGGTATGACGGACCTGAGTTTTATCAGTGTCCATATGAAACTCCAATGAAGCCTCGTCACCCGTCGCCCAGTGGCAGACATGATTCTTCACATCAATTGACCCCTTTTGAGCGACAACAGATGGCGCTCTTGATACAGCTCATTAAGAACGCCAGCTGCGAAAGCCCTTCCAAGAAAGCAAAACATTCAACCCGCAGCATTAACACCCCTCGCAAATTAAACGGCGCTAACAAGAATCACTCGAACAGTTTCAGTTTCCCTGTCAACGACGAAACCTTCAGACGAACTTCGCCCGACCAGCCTCCATTTTCGAGACGAAATACTGATGATATAGATACTAGCTTCGTGGAAGAGGAGAACGCGACAGACTGGGAGTTCAATGCTGGTGGAGCCGAACAAGGAAGTCCATCGAAAGTTCGAAAGGGACGCCGATCGCCAGGAAAGCGCCCTGCAATGAGCGGCAAGAGTACTCCTAGTTTCGCTTCTGACTCTGAGAGACCCGGCTCTACTAAACCCGAATCGGGTTTCAATCCTGCAGGCTGGGACTTTGGGCCTCAGACATTTGTTCCCCAGCCGTCCAAATCTGTGTCACCTACTCGATTGTCTCGAACAAATTCGAGAAAGCCTAGGGTTCCCAAGAAGCCTGACTATATCAACGTTGGGGATGACAGTAGCAGTGAAGATGAAGTTCTCGAATGGCGCGGTCGAAAGGTGCAAGATGAGCCACCCACAGCTGAAAGTCCCCAGGCAATGGATATAGATACTCCTCCTGTGGCGACCACAATGCCACCGCCTCGTCCTCCCAAGATCCCGTCACCTAATCCATCTCAGATGACACCTTCGCCTCAGCCTGCTCAACCCATGAGCCCGCACAAACAGCCTGCTGAAGCGAATCAGGCTCCCGGAGCGGCATCTCATACTGCTAGAAACATCTATGTTGAAACGTCTAGACCAGAGTGGCGTGAAGGTAACGTGGACAACACCAACGGTATTGAGCATCAACCAGAAATTCCCAGAAAGCCGATCAACCCGAACAACGTTGGATCAGAGGACAGTGAGGAGTTCCTCGCCAATTTTGCCGACCTTAGAAATGTCGCTCCATTCACTCAGCAGAGTTCGGGTCTGAAATCTTTCTCCGATCTGAAGGATAATCTGCCCTTTGAAAGCAAAGCAGCGCCACAGATTCCGATCAAACTACCGACAGTCCACCCGCTAGTTTTCCCAGATGCCCCTGTTGCGCCCCAGGTACCGACTGCTGTACTGGTTAGTGGAGTACAACCAAGCGCACACTCCTGGGAGACTTATGTCAAGGACTTTGAAAACTACATGAAGCAGTGGGATGTGTTTAACGCTCAAGTGGTGGATCATTTTGCTACACGCAAATCTCACATCGCACGCACCCGCGCAGAAAAGGGGTACTCATTTTTGGAAACCAGGGGCGATGCCGACATTCAGGAGTACTACAACTGGCTCGAACAGGATATGGATGTTCGCCGACGCTGGGCCGCCGCTTGTGACGAGCACGAACAGCGATTTAGAGAGTTCATGGCGTTTCGAATGAAGATGATGTAATCGAAGAATTTTGGGCTACGGAGTTGAAAGTATATGGGACGAGATCCTTTCCGGAGTCTTCAACTATCAACATGGGTTATTAGAAGGACTTGCTGTTGACCGTTGGCGATGACACATACAGTGCTATACAAGGGGCGATTTATGATATTTCTGGGGGATTCGACAAAGATTACGAAGATGAGTGGTTCAGGATCTGGGGCGGTTACAGGCGCGACGTGAGCATGTAGTTCATGGAGCGAGCAATTGCGTTTGATACCGGTTCTGTTTATTATAGTTGAAAGTTGGTGGTTTGCATCATGGGCGTTCTAGCTAGCCAAGACTGTGGCCTCGTTGGCATCAGCTTAGTAGGATATAGTCTTTGGAGATAGGATTCCAAGACGTATATATGATGGCACGAGTTATAAACAATAGACGAGAGATATCCCCGTATGTTTGTGTGCTCAGTGAAGAGGGGTTGTTTGTGCATTCACTCTTGTAAGCTGATCTGTGTGGACTCAGGGGTCGTATGTTCTCGTAGGCTGCTGTGATTCACTGACTGACTCCATATTCACACGGGATGAATAGACCACCCACTGCTCCTCTAAAGAAAGAGGGGATCAACAAGCATTTAATAACTCCTAAGTCTTCTGCCTAGCGGCCTTACCTTTTCTCACACATTCTCTCTTCTCCTCACACATTCTTTCTCTTCCTTACACATTCTTTCTTCCCCTTACACAACACACGACATCATCAAGCGTTCACCCGGAAGATTCATTTCCCTCTATCATTATCTTCCTTCATCTTAGCCTTTCATCTTTAGCAAAGCATCTATCTATTTCTTCATTTTCCGACACGTTTGCGCATCACTAGCATCATGTCTGAACTCTCAACCCCCAAGGGCAACGCCTGGACCGACGAGGCCAAGGTAAGATACCACTATTCCTCTTTCTTCATCCCCGATACTGATCGCGATATCTATCTAGTGCGAGCTTCTTCTTCGCATCATCGCGCAGCTCAAGTCCGATGGCAAAGGCATCAACTGGAACGAAATCCAGATGGAAGGTCGTACCTCCAAGAGCCTCCAGAATCAGTGGACCGCCTTCAACAAGCGCATCGACGCTATCAAGCAGACCAACCTTGACTCGCCCCCTCCTCCCAAGAAAACTCCTGGCCGCAAGCGCGCTCCTCCCAAGGCCAAGGCCGCCCCTAAGACCCCTAAGCATGTCGGGTCCGATGAGGAGGATGAAGACTACGATGTCACTCCTCCCAAGCGCCGTGTTCCCAGTAAGTTTGCCTAAGTCAATCTAATAGCACTTACTGACTTGGTCAAAATAGAGATTGAACCTGACACTGAGAGCCCTGAGAGTGCGGCTAAGGCCATTAAGATGGAGCTCAATGAGACCATCAAGAGCGAGAACGACGGTGAAATCTAAGTCACTACTAGGGGATGAACATGGAAAAATGATGGAGGCATGATCATTTTTATTTTTGGAAGGAAAAGGTCCCAGAAGCAGTGGCCGATGCCAGAGGGGGTATGCCCTCGCTCTTCATTATATGGACAGTGCTGGTTGCACATGAAATGAGTTTTTTGGTAGTGCCAGTAAGGCCAAGTAAGGATGGAGGCCCATTGATAGTGAGCTATACGTAGCTAAATCAACATAAATGCCTTTAACTTCTAACGATTGTGATATTTCTCTGGTGTAGTAGTTGCCAGGGTATTGGAATTGGCCGCTGTCAACATAAGGGACGAAACAATTTACTCACCTTATGCTGACTTAGACCAGCACTTAGGTTGTTTTATTTTGATATCCTAAACTTCAGCGGACAATTCTTGTGTCATTTAGGTACCGGTATTTGGTATGGTAAGCTCCTGGAGATAAGTTAATATTCAGCATGTTGTCTTATGACGGGTTTACAACGAGCTTTCTACGACCAGTATGCCATCTTTCCACCATAGGTTTAGAAGCAAGTGAGTCGGTGGTTCATTGATGTTCACATCGACAAGTCTGAGTGGCATGGAACTTGAGATTGTAATTTACGAGATCATCAAACGAGTATATCCGTCTACGTATGAGTATAACTCCTCTCCATGTTTTGCTCTCTCAGATGTGAAAATAAGGTTCCATATTATCATCTCGGACCGTTATTGATATTGCCTTTCTGGGAAGTCGATCGGGAGTGATCCGATAATCATAAGGCAATTGTGGGGTTTATACTAAAGAGAAATGGTGTCGGAATCGCGGAGTCCGATGAAGAAAATCAGGTCGTTAGCTGACCATTGACGTGCTCCCAACAACCACCATTTCATGCATATACTATATCTGGATACTATAGTCGTGTCATCCATGTAGGATTGATTCTAGCATTGTAACTTTTCAATTAAAATATCAATTGTCCTCCCTTCCCTCATTCTTTAATGTGATTGTCTTGTTATCTATCATCATTCATAAACTGCTTCAACATAATGCCTGCCGGTGTCGGAGACGAAGAAACAGCACCTTTCCTCACCGAATCACCGCCGTCATCACCGACGAGTGTTATAACAATACCATATCAACCCTTAGACCTAGATGACAGTATCAATGGAGATGACAGCGGTAGCTCAAGGTCTCATGGCTCCGAATGGACCATCAGCCAAAGCGCCCGCAGACTCTATATATCTCATACGCTCTCAACATGGAATTCACGAGTCTTCGAATTCGGAAGCGTTTTATATATTGCCTCCATCTTTCCAGGAACATTGATGCCTCTAGCAATTTATTCTATGGTTCGAGCCGCTGCTGCTATTACGCTATCATCTTGGGTTGGAAATTATATTGACTGTAACGATCGTCTGAAGACGGTGAGATTTTCGATCGGTATGCTCTTCATCCTCTTTAGGGTATCTTGATTGACATTAATAGTATCACAACGATTGGTTGTTGCTGTATCATGCGTCATATTCATCGTTCTCATAAAAGTTCAAGATTTGTCTCATGAATTGAGAATTGGTTTGCTGGCGGCTTCGATACTCATGGCTTGCGTTGAGAAACTGGCAGCTATCATGAATCTCGTCTCGGTGGAAAGAGACTGGGTAAGTGGTTATCAAACACAATAAATTAATCATAACTCACCGTCAATAGGTCATCGTTGTAGCTCGTTCTGACACTACTGCACTTCGAAGTATATCACCTGAGGTCGAGTTGAGGGTTATGCTAATCTCTCCTTAGCAATGAACTCGCAGATGAGACGTATCGATCTCGTCTGTAAGCTCCTTGGGCCCTTCTTCATTGGAATGGTCGACGGCGTTTCGACAGAGACAGCCATTCTGGTGAATCTAGCAATGAACTGCGCATCAGTTGTGGTCGAGTACTTCACCATTGCCAGGGTGAGTCGACACCTGTACCATGTTCGAGGACGTCGTACTGATATCAGTAGGTATATTATCAAGTGCCGGAGTTGCAGTACCCCAAGAGCACACCGCATGCTACACCCCTCAGTGATGACAATCGTCAAAGCCTATGGATCAAGGTGAAGCGTGGCCTGCAGAAAACGTCTCAGGACCTTCGTCTTTACTTCACCCATCCTGTTTTCTCTCCCTCCTTTGCAGTAGCACTACTCTACTGTACAGTGTTGTCATTTGGCGGAGTCATGGTTACTTATCTGCTGTCAAGCGGATACACCTCGTCCCAAATTGCTGTAATGAGAACCGTCTCGGTAGCTTTCGAAGTTTTAGCAACGTGGATTGGACCCTGGGTAATGAAAAAGATTGGTCCAGTTCGCGCGGGGCTTTGGTTCCTGAGTTGGCAACTGGGGTGCTTAACAGTCGGTGTATCAATCTTTTGGCGGTACGCTGATAACATGCTCGTTTCGACGCTGGCACTTGTGGGTGGTTCAATACTCAGTCGTATCGGGCTCTGGGGCGTCGATCTCTCGGCACAGGTCATCATCCAAGAGGTATGTCAACGTTTGTGTGGGTGAGAAAGTTGTTAACCGTACATGATGCAGGAAGTCGAGGCGGAGAATCGAGGAGCCTTTTCTGCTGTGGAAGCCAGTTGGCAAAATGTGTTCGAGATGTGTGCGTACACATCGACCATCATATTCTCGTCACCCAGTCAGTTCCACAACCCAACAGCGCTGAGCATCACAGCAGTCCTGTTCGCATGGGTTCTGTACAGCTCGTTTGTAAAGAAGCGACGAGGACATCTCGTCCACTGGCCGAATTGCCTATCTGCAGAGAAGCAGCAAGCAGCAGCGATAGATGGAGTGATCGAGTCGCTGCCTTCGAGAAGAAGGGAGGGGCCTGGAGGGGTTGTATGATATTGGATGCATCTTGTATGCATGTAGTATCGCACGAGACACGTTGGCGGTCACCTGGATCGGAAAGCAGTGCAACAACGATATAGTGAGATTGACACGGGATCCTGATCCTGTGGGTTGGGAACCATCCACGTTTATTTCCGTGTCTCGGACGGCAGCTTCCTCTGCATAGGATGGTATGCATGGAGTAGTATCCATAGCAAGGACTCGTGGATCGAGGAGCGAGTCTTGAGATGATGCAGGCATGGTTACATGAGAAGCACAGCATTCATCGCATCAAGAGATAACACATTCTTGAAAAAATACGACCCTTTACACCGAAAAAAGGTCAGCTGTTGCTTATAAGCTTGGATGTGTTGCATTTTATAAGAGACATATTGAGACATGCATCGAGGCTCTAGAATAAGACTCCATGCAAACCATTGCTGGGATCAAAATAGGCACAAAAGTCTCAATCGCCCACCATCTCAGAGCCCCAGTTGACTGGTCATCTGTCGTTGTAATCGTAGAGTTGTGCCACACCATCTTATGTCTTGTCGGGACGGACAAGGCAGGGAGAGGCTGGATGTTGCATAACTTGATAAAGGTTGACAGAAAGGTTGACCGTTAAGAGTTTACAGATCAAAATAATCTAGTCTCTCTATGCCAACTTAGACCTGTAGTCAGACCAACCTATTCTGTCATTATGTCCCTTAGAGGTGATTCTTTCTGCTACCACCTGCTTATGCATAGTGGCGGGTCAGGGCGTCGCGGGAATGACGGCGTCTGCTTTAGCGGCCTTGGAGGGTACCATTTCCCCTGTAGACTTGGCTTTGGCCCATTCAAACTACCGCTCCAGCTGATCCACTCACTTTCCTGGTTCAGGTTCGCTTTCTCTCAAGGTCAAGGTCTGAAGGGTTGCCTCATAAATTTTTCCCCAGATCTCGTTCTGGCTCCGTCATCACATGGGCCCTCTTTAAACAATATTCACAAATTCTCTTATTACTACACTTTCACTTTTACTTAATCTACAGCATTGCCCCTTCTATCCTGGGCGCGCTGTCACTACCCGTGTTCCTGTTTCAGTCTCGTCACTGCTCGCGATCCTTGCCTCTGACGTTTATTCTTCGATCCCCTTTACGGGATACAACCAAACAAAACAACTTGACCCGTGATTCTTTTCACGATCGACATCTCAAACCCATCGCGACCCCGATACCTACACAATAATGAACGGCGCCGCTTCTTCACCAAGGGTCAAGAGAAAGGCCCCTGGGTCACCCGATCTGGCTCCCCCCGCCAAACGAGCCATCAACGGGAAGCATTCTCCCAATGACAATACTCCCGACATTGTCGAGTTCGACGACCAGTCCGAGATCAGTGGCGACCTTCTCCCTCATGATATGTACATTGGGACACCAGGGAGCCTAGGCGAGTGGCAGGACACGATCCAGAAGGTCGTGCGCAATGTTGTCGCGATCCGGTTCTGCCAGACTTGCTCTTTCGACACCGATTCTGCTTTGACTAGTGAAGCTACCGGATACGTTGTTGATTCTGAGCGAGGGTGAGCTTCCCTATTTGTCATCCTGGAATTCAACTCTAACGACTGCATAGATATATCCTAACAAACCGTCATGTTGTCGGCGCTGGTCCCTTCTGGGGCCACTGTGTCTTCGACAACCACGAGGAAGTCGACTGCTACCCCGTCTACCGCGATCCCGTACACGATTTCGGAATTCTTCGTTACGATCCCAAAGCGATCAAGTACATGCACATCGATGGCCTGGAACTGCGACCTGACCTTGCAAAGGGTATGCGCCCCCTCGAGATACCGAAAACCGCCATCTTCTAATGCTAACATTTTCTCAGTCGGTACCGAAATTCGAGTCGTTGGTAACGATGCTGGCGAAAAGCTCAGTATTTTGTCAGGTATCATCTCCCGTCTCGATCGAAACGCACCTGAATACGGCGAAGGATATAGCGACTTCAACACGTGTTACTACCAGGCCAACGCTGCCGCCAGTGGAGGAAGTTCTGGAAGTCCCGTTGTGAACAAGGATGGATGCGCTGTCGCACTTCAAGCTGGTGGTCGCTCGGATGGAGCTTCAACAGATTATTTCCTTCCACTTGATCGACCACTGCGTGCTTTGCAATGTATTCAGACTGGCAAGCCCGTTACACGTGGTGACATCCAGTGCCAATTCCTTCTCAAGCCATTCGACGAGTGCCGTAGGCTGGGTTTGAGCCCCGAGTGGGAGGCAGCCATGCGCAAGCAGTTCCCGGAGGAAACCAACATGCTGGTAGCTGAAATCGTTCTTCCCCAAGGCCCTTCAGACAAGAAGATTGAGGAGGGAGACGTCCTGATCAAGGTCAATGGCGAGCTCATCACTCAGTTCATCAGACTTGACGACATTATGGATTCTAATGTTGGCAACGCCATTAAGCTGCATCTCCAGCGCGGTGGAGAGGATATTGAGGTAGAGATTGAGGTTGGAGATCTTCACAAGATTACCCCTGACCGCTTCGTTTCGGTGGCGGGCGCCAGCTTCCACGATTTGTCCTACCAGCAAGCACGACTTTATGCCGTCGCTGTCCAGGGTGTCTATGTATGCGAGTCGGCTGGATCATTCCGATTTGATAACACGGATAATGGTTGGATTGTCCAAACAGTTGATCACAAAAAGGTGCCAGACCTTGACACGTTCATCGAAGTGATGAAGGCCATTCCAGACCGTGCCAGGGTTGTCGTCACTTACAAGCACCTTCGTGACCTGCATACTCTCAATACCACTGTTGCCTACATTGATCGCCATTGGGCCTCCAAGATGAAGCTTGCGGTTCGAAACGATGAGTCCGGCGTCTGGGACTTTACTGATCTTGGAGATCCTCTGCCTCCCGTTCCTCCGAAGCGACGATCTGCCTCGTTCATTGAGCTGGACCACATGCCCCACCAAGGCATTGCAGACTTGATCCACAGCTTTGTTCATATCAATTGTATCATGCCATTGAAGCTTGACGGTTTCCCTAAGAATCGCCGCTGGGGTATGGGCCTGGTGGTTGATGCAGAGAAGGGTCTCGTTTTGATTTCGAGAGCCATCGTCCCTTATGATCTTTGCGACATTACCGTCACTATCGCCGACTCCATCATTGTCGAGGGCAAGGTCGTTTTCCTGCACCCTCTTCAGAATTACGCCATCATTCAGTACGACCCATCGTTAGTGGATGCGCCAGTGAAGAGCGCCAGACTCAGTAACGAGGTACTCACTCAAGGTGCCAAGACCTACTTTTTGGGCTACAACAGGATAGGACGCGTCGTACATGGCTCTACAAGTGTCACCGAGATTACTGCAGTGGCGATTCCAGCCAACTCTGGCGCACCTCGCTACCGCGCGGTCAATGTCGATGCCATTACGATTGATAGCAACCTCGGATCGACTTGCAACAGCGGTGTTCTTGTTGCTCCCGATGGCACTGTGCAAGCTCTGTGGCTAAGCTATCTTGGAGAGCGTAACCCTCATAGCTCTCGAGATGAAGAATACTACCTCGGCCTTGGCACCAAGACTCTGCTTCCTGTGGTAGACGCGGTCCAGAAGGGCGTTAACCCCAAGCTTCGCATCTTGTCGGTCGAATTTAGATCCGTGCAGATGTCCCAGGCGTCAGTCATGGGAGTCTCAGACGAATGGATCAAGAAGGTCACCCAGGCCAACAGGTCCCATCATCAGCTCTTTATGGTCAGCAAGCGAACGTTCGAGCGTGTCAACCACCCGGTATCTCTGCTTGAAGGAGACATCATTCTTACTCTGAACGGCAAGATTTGCACTACTATTTCAGACTTTGACTTGATGTACTCCCATGAATTGCTTGATGCTGTTATTGTCCGCGAATGTGAAGAGATGCATCTTCAGCTTCCTACCGTGTCTGCAGACGACATGGAGACAGACCATGCGGTTTCCTTCTGCGGTGCTATCCTGCACAGGCCCCATCAAGCTGTTCGACAGCAAATCAGCAAGCTACATAGTGAGGTGTATGTGTCCAGTCGCATTAGGGGTTCGCCTGCCTACCAGTATGGAGTTGCGCCCACGAACTTTATCACGCACGTCAACGGCACTCCTACCCCTGACCTCAACTCTTTCATTGCTACCACGCGGAAGATTCCAGACAACACCTGTAAGTCAACATGCACCAACTCATGCAAGATGATCAAGCTAACTAGGTACAGACTTCCGCCTCAAGGCTGTAACATTTGACAACGTTCCATGGGTGATCACTATGAAGAAAAACGACCATTACTTCCCCACAATGGAATGGATCAAGGATGACAAGGAAGCCTGCGGATGGCGCCGAGTCACATACGAAGGTAGTGAAGCGTTCAAGGGCGAGGCGACTGACGGCGTGGCCCCAGTCGCCGAGGATGCCGATATGGAGTAAAGCAGTTAGGATGAGCTGCGTATCCCCAAAAGAAAGAGGGAGTGTATCAAACAAGAGAACATTGGGATTGATAGAATTGGATCATGGCGTTATATGGCGATGAAGGATTCCGTTAAGAGGGTCATCTGGAGCTGTGAGACAGCCCTTGGAAGGGACAGGTTACATATTGATTTCGAAGAGAGCTGTATATTATTACCTAGGATAAGGTGGTGTACGTCAAGGTTGAACAGTAATTCACCACCAAGTAGCTTAATGCTACTATTAAATTGCATAGAATAACCAAAATATTCCATGTCTTTGGACGGCCAACTTTTCTAATACCCTTACACAGTTCAAGGTTCGGCCTGATCCGGATGAAGCTATAGTGGGGCTCAAACACGGCTTCCCCAGTGAGAATGAGCTCATAGCGTCTGGGCGTTGACTGCCCTGCGTAACCGTCGCAAGGCAGTTACAATTGCAGCTCTGCCTTATCCCATTTTACCCCTCCATTTCTTTACTTTGACCTGTAGTCTATCTCCTCATCCTCTTCTCCCATTGAGGGCCTTATGCTCATCTCATTTCCATAGATCTCGACCACTCTTCATTCATTCATCATGCCTCCCAGCGCCAACCTCATAGTAAGATGCCCCTCTTCGCTTCCCCGCCACGATGCGCCTGTCGCACAGTCACTAATATGCGCTACCAACTCAATAGACAAAGCTCAAGGTCCAGCTCAAACTGACCATTGCGCGTCTGCGCATGGTGCAGCAGCGCGATGAGCAACTTGGAAAGACCGCGCGTAGAGCCATGGCTCAGCTCCTCGAAGCCGGAAAGGAAGATTCAGCCCGCATTCGTGTCGAGAACATCATCCGATCCGACATCACCTCCGAGCTTCACGAGATTCTCGAACTCTATTGCGAACTGCTGCTTGCGCGCTCTGGACTGCTAGAGGGACATACCGTTGATCCTGGACTGGAAGAGGCGGTTCAGAGTTTGATTTACGCTGCGCCTAAGACGGAGATTAAAGAGCTTGGCACTGTGAGGACGCTTTTGGCGGAGAAGTATGGAAAGGAATATGTTCTTGCGGCGACGGAGAATTCGGATGGAAAGGTCAATGAGAAGGTTGTCAAGAAACTCAGCGTTACGCCTCCTAGGGAGGAGCTTGTCGTTGGATACCTTGAGGAAATCGCCCGGGCTTACGGCGTCGACTGGCCCAAGAAGGAGGCTGTCTCGCCACCCCCAGAATTACTCGACGAAGACGACGACGACGATGAGCCATCCGGCGGACAAAAGGCAAAGGCCGCACCACTCACCGCAGACCCAGCCATGAACACTCCCGTTAAGAAACTAGCAGGCGGGGGTCCCACGAGTCCACTAACAGTGACACCGCCAAGAATGACGACTGATAACATACATCCCAAGGTCACGCTAGGATCTGTAGAGTTGAAGCCGAGTAAGAAGATGGAGGCTGCGGCGCGGAAGGGAGAGCCTGATGGATCTGTTCCTGATCTTGGAGACTTGGAGAGACGGTTTGCGGCTTTGAAGAAGCGATGATGTTTTGGTTGAGCTGGTATATGAATCTTGTGGAGTTTAAAGGTGTTTATCAATTCTTATGTTGTAGAAGCCAGTGGAATTAGATATTGATCAAGGGCTTGACTCTGAACGGACAGGTTTATATGGAATGTCTCATGCGCTTGACCTTATAAATCACCTATACGTCAACGGACTGACTCATGTTGATAAACATTATTCTTCCGGCCACGCGGTGTCTCCAATAATGATCCAGCACGGAAAAGTCTATGAGCTACTCAGATTTATCTCCTTGAGCCCCCGGCTGTGTACATCCCGCACCTCCAGTTACCTAGCTAATCAGAAGCCTAATAGACGAAAACAGATACTTAATTCCCTAAGCTTTTACTAGGAAACCTAAGTGTTTATAATCATATAACGATAGAGGTGCAGGATGTGCACAGCCGGGGTCTCAAGGAGATGCAGTTCAAACCTTGCCCAACGCCCATATCGCTTCTCATCGATATTCTCTATCGATACGGTTTTTATCAATTTGAATTTCTCTCGTATTACTGCTACTTAGTTTGTTGCTTTTGTTCGAATCGTGCTTTGATATCACTTCAGAGAATGATGAAGACGACACATAGGGACGAAGGGACAAGCCTTGATATATACTTTGAGGCATCGTAACTCATGACCATAATGGAAAACTCACAGGAAGACTTTTAAACAAACCTTCAGCTTCCTTGTAGTATACAAAGAACCTAGACGTCCCTTCCTTTAAGCCAGTCGCCAAACCATCTTCTCCGTGCCACTCGGATGCATTTAATGTAATCCTCAAGCTTCCGCTTGTAAGCATTATCTTCCCACCGGTATCTTCCCACTGGTAGCATATTTAAGAAGGATAACACTAAGTATAGAATAGGTAAGAGATTGTAGTAGTTTCTAGCTATATAAACTCTCTACTGGGTTTATCTAGTAACTAGCTTCTGACTAGTCCTAAGAGGAAGAAGGAATATTCTTGATATCTTTTTGTGGTTGATCTTCCTGTCTTTGTATACCCTCAAGGCGAATAGAAAGGGGCCCTGGTATCCACTGTTTGGATCTTGAAAGACCACCAACTGATTGTGAGCGTAGGCGCATTTGAGAATTTGCCGCAGACTGTGATCGAGAGTGTATGTCTGAAACTTCTTCTAAAGCAGATCGATGACGCTTTCTTGGAGTTGTAGTTGGTGTAGAAGTATTGCTCTTGCCTTTTCCACCTTTGCCTTTTACTGGAGTAGCAGTTCCATGTGCATTTTTATCCTCATCATCTCGAGTATCACCAGCTGTATCCTTGTAATTGCCTACACCGCTTAACGCAGCAATAAGCAGTAAATACCATTGAACCCAAAGCATTTGCAAGAACTTTTCTTCTCCATCCCTCTTTACCTTGAGCCTCAATATGTGACCTGACTTGATTGGAACCCCAACCCGTTTCCAATGGTGTATGGCAGTGACCTTTCCTCCTTTAGATCTATCCCGCTTGTTGAAAGGTGAAGGGCGTGAATTTTCCGCATGCTGAAGAAACCGATTTACCATCTTCATAAAGCCGCAATCTTTATCAGCAGTAGTACCCTCCCCGATAGCAATAGGCATAGTATATGGAGACCATTGCTAATATAGCCAGTTAAAACTGACCCAGACTGTAACCATATCCTTATCGTGATCATCATTATCTTGCTCAAGCTCTCGCTGAAGCTCTTGATCAAGCTCTAGGTCAAGCGTTGGCTCAAGCCTTTCCTTAAATTCTTCCAAGGTTTTCAGAGGCTTTAAGGCGAAGCGAACTTTGCACCAATGCGAATGCAGGGTCTGGCCGATATTAACCATATTCCAGGTTTGTCCGACTTCCCAACTTCGTTTAGGCATTCCCGAATTGCATTGATTTGCTCTTGAGTAAAAAAGGCGCGAAGAGCCTCAAGACACCACTCTGTATACTTCGTATAGGCGGTAGTTTTGTTCCAGTAAAATGGAATAATATGTGCAATTTCAAGGAAACCTTCTCCAGAGACCATACATTGCCAGAAATCCCGATCTTGGCAGGATTGACGCTGTTCAGTGTTTCGGATGTGTTCTGATGTTTCATTATCATTATTGTCTTCCCGGGCTGGTTGATCCAATTCAATATAATCCAGGTCTTCATTGTGATTGTCTTTGCAATCATAGGTATCATCATCGTCGATATTCCCAGTAGATACTGAGGTGTGAAAGAACACGCCTCAACATATACTTTGAGGCATTGTGACCCATGACCCTCTCAATCTTGACAAAGCTTGCAGATAGGCTTTTCAGTAAACCTTCGGTTTTCTTGTGGTATATAAAGAACAGTGTTCTCTTCCCTTGATCCAATTGCCGAAACCTTTTCTCCGTACCACTCTCCGTACCGCTGCAACAAGATGGATGCTAATTACACCATTCTTCGAAATCTCGAAGAACACCTCAATGTTTCGGGTGCAGACGCTTTTGAAAAGCTCGCCGCGATTCCTCAGTACCTTCTCGAGGACCAACTGATCCTTGCCTCCGCTCATCTTTTCGTCAAGAATATCGCCTCCATCTACATGAGATGGCTTTTCTTACAGCCGCTTTCTGACGTAGAAGGGCACCAAGTCGTGGGATCATTTGCCCCGTTCATGAAAGTCCGAGGGTTAGGTGTAAATGAGGTTCTCGAAATGTGGAAGCAAGAGAGCAAGTCAGCTCTGAAATTCGCACGTGGGGACTCGGAACGCGAAACACGAATGAGGATGAGGATAAACAGACTGCGACGAGAGATTGAGTCCGAATACTTCAAGTGGCACAATGCTGCGAACCAGGGCCCAGAAGCTTCTTCTCCTAGACGTCCTGGCAATTTAGGTGATTATGTCTCGAGCTTTTCCAAGCATGGGAGATTTCTAACATCTGACAGCATTGCAGAATTGGCCGACGAAACATATAGCGTTCGAGTCCATCGAGATCTCCGAGCCGTTGGATCAGACCAAAAGTCGGGAGTCAAGGTGTCACACCTCGAGAACGATACGACGGAAGCTGGAAGGTCTGATGTCAAAGGGTCTTCGTCGCATGAAGAAATACAACGGTGGCGAAGACCCCGAGAGAGAACAGCCAGAGACAGGGGACGACTCGGTCGCAGAGTCATCAGCGAAACTCCCAAAGGAAGTTATCGACCTTGTAACTCCAACACCTTCTGAATCGTAGACCTCAACCCCAATCGATCGCCTTAGCCGTCGGTGCCGACTTTTCAAAAGAAGACTGATATCACGTCGGCTCTGTTCAGAAGAGCCGTGTTAGGAAACGACTTGCGTGCCGCATTCAAACGTCGGAATAGCACAAACAATGGTATATTCTTGATACTGTGGATGCCGCCACAAAACGCCCCAACTCCAGCCCACCTTCTTGTGGTATGCAAAAGACATAGTATGGCTCTCAAATAAGAAGCATTCCGCAACAGCTTCGACGTTCCTTATACTTAAATCCAACATGCGTCCGCCTTATTCTAATTTATCGAGATGCTCCAACCGCGTGAGCACAACTTGTTTACTCGTCTCCTCGATCTCGCCGGCTAGGAATACTTCGTCGAGGATCGCATAGACCTTGTAGAAGTTGAAGACAAGATCGAGCTCACAGACGTTTCCGAAAAAGGCATCGAGGACCTCGACGAAGAAGTGAATAGCTTCGAGAAAGGCGAGCTCGTTATCGTTTGTGTCGACACAGGCGCAGAAGAAGAGACCGGCGTAGCGGCGGTAGACGATCTTATTGTTGCGGAATTCGACAAAGTTGGATTGGTATTTTTGATCGCGAGGCGCAACGAGACGATGGACTTCGCCCTTGAGCTTAATCTTCTGCTCGTCGCTAAAAGGGGCGTACCATTTGGCCAGACGAGTCTTGCCCCTGAGAGATCATTAGTAATGGCGCATTGTATAAGAGTGGAAAACTTACTGTCGGTTCTGAATGAGGATAAAAGAAAGCATCTTGAATTGGCAAGACTAAAGTTCAAAACGAATGTCGTTTGAGAAAGGAAAGAAGGATCGCGATAGTGAAGGTGGCATGGATGGATAAGCTGTCGTTGTTAGGAGGCTGTCGCGGAACACAAGGGTTGATGTTGATTGGCTGCGGGGTATAGCGCTGCAGCCACTGAGGTGTTGCAAGGCTACCACTAAAATACCCCTGGAAAGACCCCCGGGTTTCTAGCACGTTGATCCCCTGCTCGTGCGACATCCATGACATTCTTCCTTCCATTTGAGCATTTGAATCCCCTGCAGAAATATGACCAGACTAGCCAGTATGAGTAGGTTATAAGTCACCAATTCATCTTCTTATGACTTTTGCTGGGGAACGCGATGTCTGCTATTGATCAAGTTCCTTCCGTCCTTTCGTTTCAACCATATGCATTTAATGGAAGTTGCTTTGCAGGTGAGATGGAATCATGAATAACGGAAGGAGGTCCCGGCACATCGCGTGCGCACCTGCCTTAGCGTCACATACATCGGCAATTCCAAGTTTTCGTCACTGTGTTTCGGTTTAATATTTTCATACCCAACTTCAACACCATCATCAGAAATGATAATAAATCATTCAGTCTATCTATCGTTACCATCTCCTACACTTTTCTGATTTGAGACTCCCAATGTATAATGACGAAGAATCCCCGCTATAACGAATCACCAGGATCCACGATAAGCCAAGCCTTGGTACCCAAGACGCGATACGATATTCAGGAAAACAGTCCCTACTGTCAGATATGAACTGCATGATAGGACATCATTCAGATTCAAGTGATTCTGCTCTGATACCTCACAACTCACAATTCTTACTTGGTTGATATCCAGCATCGACGTTGGAAAGGATGTTAATCAACCTTGGGCATTACGAAACCAATCACCAATAAGCAATAATCAGCTTCTGCATATTTACTGCTGGGTGGTTCATCATGGAGACCACAATGGCACGCTTCAGAAAGCAGGTGCTTGAATATTGGGCCGCCTGCAAGAGTAAGAGACGAGTCTTGAAGTGTTCAATTGCCAGTACCGCTGCCGTCATCGCCGTCATGACTCCTCAAGCTGTTGCAGTCCTCGGTCCTGTAACGTTTCTCGCCCCAATGGCCACTGTGTTTGCTCACCCGGGTCAGAGAATGGGTCCTATGATAGAGGCTGTCATATATGTGTTACTTGGTACAGCGCTCGGTCTCGGCTGGTCTAGCTTGGGTCTCTACTTTTCCAGTCTCATTGTCGATGAGAGCCGGCAAGCCGCGTATGCTATCCGCGGGATATTTCTTGCTCTGGGTGCGATCTTCCACGGCTACCTAAGATCGGCGAAACCTCGTCTTTTCTTGGTTGTTGCTTTCACTCTTATTGACTGCCTAGTTGTGCTACTTGGGAGTCGAGAACGGGTATCACTGCCCGTTGTTACGAATGTTGCATATCCAACCTTGATTGGCGTCGGCATATCGGTCATAACAAACCTGGCTATATTTCCTGAGCCATCGAGCAATTTTCTTGGTGGCGCTGCTGTTAGTGCTCTCCAAGAGACAAATGACAGTCTCAAGAAAGCTGTAGAGTGGTTCCTCACACCCGGTGGTGACCAAGATGAAGAACCAAGCACAGATGAAGCACCAAGCACAGCCGAAGAACTAAGCCATACCAGTCATACCATGACCGCCACGGCTAAGAGCGCGCCTGATAAACCCAAGCACAATAAAAGCTGGTTGTCCAAATGGACATCTACGCTTCTAGCACCTTTCCGGGCTTCTCAACACCGCCATCGTACTCCTACTCCTGTCGAGATCACAACAATAGGATACTTGTCGACAGCCAGAAAAAGACTCCTTACTCAGCTTACATCGTGCAAAACTGCCCAACGAGAATCTAACTACGAAATGAGTATTTCAGTGCTTCCTCCGAGGGCCTTGAAGCCCCTTACCACCTCTCAGATGAGCAAACTCGTCCAGAACATTACCAATATCATAGGAGTCTGTGAGAACAAGTCCATCGTCCTGGAAAATGACGACGGTTCGGAAGACGACACTACTATAACAGCTGATAGCTCCGATAGTGAGCCAAGTGGAATTAAGCGCATGGACACTTTCGAAGATTATCAACAGAGACTGGAGTACGCGAAGCCTGCCAGAGAGATCAATCTCAGTAACGCTGTTTTGCTTGAGGCTATGGTTGGCCGTATCCGTGACCCTGCCCTCGAGTTGAAGGAATCAATCCAGAAAGCTACAGAGAAAGTCATCGACTGTGTCGCCTACTGCTACGATGTGCAATCCCTGCCGTCTGCAGATCCTACTCCTAAGGATATATCTCTGCGCGATTTGGATCAAGATATCGATCAATTTGTGGAGGCTATCAGCAATTTTGATGTCAGTTGTTCGGCAGAGCTTCGCCGGTCGAGAACAGATGAGAACAACCGGGTCGACTTCATGCCTCGTCTGGAAACGTTCCTAGTCTCTTCATTCGTTCTAGGGTTGGCCGAGTCTGCAAACCATGTTCTAGGGATGTTACGCCATGTTCGAAAAGTCGTCGAACAAAGACAAGCGCGGAATAATAGGACCACTTTTTGGTTCCCGAAAGCAATTGACATGCAGCAATACTGGAAAACGGGCGGTGAGAGTGATGGATTTGTCCTGCCAGGATTGGCTCGTGAGCAGAATCGTCAGAGTAAACCAAAGAGCCGAACGCCAGCGGCCGAGAAGGATACAAAGCATGCGGCGCCTAAGACCACAGATGAGGAGAAAGCAATTCGCTTTGTCGAACCTGGTCCTCGGGGGAAACACAAAATTGGCACTACAGACAATCGCAGAAAGGAGAAATCAAAGGCTGGAGGAAACAGTCGAATTCTCAGGATCAGAGGAAAGGCTGCCGACACTATTGAGTGGATGCTCGAATCTCCTCACTTGTCTTACGCCCTTAAGCTCGCATCCGCCATCATTCTTCTGAGCTGGCCAGCTTTGATTGATTCTTGGAACCCTTGGTACACGTCTGTCCGTGGTATCTGGGCCCCCATGCAATTATTTCTAGTTTTTGAAGTTGCTATAGGGACATCCGTGTATGTCTTTGTTCAACGGCTTTGCGGAGTCCTTTTTGGCTGCGTTATAGGTTTGGCATCCTACGCGATTGGGAATGGTGACCGAGTCTGCATGATCTTTGTCCTCATCGTAGGCATCGTCCCGTCCTTCTACGTCCAGTTAAATAAGAAGAAATATGTGAAGGCGGCCATGATCAGTACAGTTTCCATGGTCGTAGTTGCACTCTGTAAGTGGCAACTTCATCCTTACTATGGCCTGGTGTACTAACATGACTAGCTGCTGCGAATGGTAAAGGTACAGCTGTTGAGATCTTCTACAAACGATTTACTGCGTTCATTATAGGTGGCGTTGTTGCCATGGCCGTTGAGATGCTTGTGTTTCCGGTCAGAGCCAGGGATCGGTTGATTGAAATGCTTTCAGAGTCAATACAGCACGTGCAAAAGATGCATGCTGCTATGGCTGTTGGGCTGGACAGTATATCAAAACCCAACTTTAGGGATCCTGACATTGCTAAACGCTTCAACTATGCAAGATCCAAAGCTCAGGAAGCACTGGTTTTAGCAGAGACATTCCTCCCAATGTGTTCTAGTGAACCACGTCTTAAGGCGGATTTCCGGCCTCTTAAACCTATTTACAGGGAGATCATCATCGTGCTACGCCAGATAGTTGAGAAGATGGACAACAATTTTTCACTTCGCAAGGAGTATGGTTCTTCAATATTAGAAGACTTACACGCTCAAGTGCGTATACATCGGCGCAAGGTGGCCGCCTGTATTGAATTCAACCTTTACTCGGTCCACCAAGCACTTGTCACTCGGCAACCTCTGCCACAATTCATGCCCTCCTCTCGAGCCGCACATTTTCAACTCATTAGTCGCGTTCGAAAAGTTCTTGATGAACGAAGTGGCACACAAACGCCAGCGGGTGGAGTGCCAAGTGCCTCCAGCGAGATTGGCGATCTAGGCGAAGAGGTAGCAAGGCTGATTGTCCAAAAGCGAGCCCTCTCGTGGAACGCCAGTACTTTTGGCCAAGGAGAGATCATTGAATATCTCGAAGAGCTTGTGGAACTGACCAAAATTATTGTGGGTGTGAATGCTTTCCGAAGTGGTCTACTTGAAAGAGCAGCGCCCTACAGCACGTACAAACAGCGGTCTCGTCTGAATCGCATCCCTCTGCCCCGCCAGCGTACAGCAGATAGCGGTGGTTCTGATGGTTCTCTACGACAAGTCCCGACAGTCTCTTCAGTGCTCGCTCCGACAGAGAGTAGAGCTACTGGCCTTCAGCGTACACAAACAATACGCCGAGGCAGTCTTACAAAGCGGCGGTCGCATCCGAAGGAAGAGAAGGGGAATGCGGAGAGCGATAGTGAGGAGGATATCCCCGTGAGTCTGCAGAGAGTTGGGACCAGATTGTGTGAAAACAACGCAATCATGCGGAGGCGGGCTATTGCTATGAGCAAGGAGGGCAGCTAGAGGTTGCCGTTCGAGACGACTATGAGCGGGGAGGTCAACTAGAAGTGGCCAATCGAGACAACTGTGGGCGAGGAGGGCAGCCAGCAGCCCTCAAGGACGCGGAGACACACTGTTGCTATGAGCAGAGAAAAGCCGCCCGTCAGAACTACTCAGCGCAGATTGTCAGAAGTTCACAGTGGTCTAGCAACAAGTCTAACGGAACCCCGAAGGCGTTATTCAAGAGTAGTTATAAAGCCAACCGAGCTAACCGAGCTCACTATGTGATTAAAGAAAAAAGGAAAAGACGCGTTGATTCTGCGACAGACTATTGCTATGAGTGCGACAGATAGATGCTATCGTTAACATTGCTCAACAGAAGCATTCACTGGGGTAGAGGGATGCGGAAGCTGATAGTCGAGTAGACTGGGAACTTCTAATTAAATAATAACAAAATATAAATAAACTCTTGCCATGCGCCTTTGCTCTGGCTGTCCAAAACACTACCAGTTTCCAGAGTCAACTCTGCGAGAAATAACCCAAATACAATCGTGCTGCTTGCAAGAACCGAACGTTAGAAAATGTTGAGAGGCGTATGTTGTGAAATTCGAGTCCCGTTGAGCATAGCCCTTGACTTCTTGGGTCGCTGCTGCAGCCTACGAGAGCCTTCCTGGACGTGACGAGGCTCGATCGGCATCTTGCCCTCACTGGGAAAGTCAAACAATGCACCCTCGTGTTTTCGCTTCTTCGCTGTGCCAACATTGTCTCTTCCATTCTGGGCTCTCGCCAGATCCTCTTGCTCTTTGACTTTGAGTGCCATCTCCGTTAGGGTCTGGACCATTTCGAATGTCAGGAAACCGAGGATATCAACGATATCATCTGACGGTTTACTATCGGTGACGATGCCAAAGCCTGCCCACTCTCTGAATCGCTTACCCTTTCGGTATGTGAACGACGCCTGTCGATATTCAGACCACGTAACATACTCCTCCTTCGTCATAGCCTTCGTACGCTCATCAGCCTTCCGCAATCTCTGCAGCGTAATATAATTCATCTCCTCCTCTTCCTCATCCTCCTCATCCTCTCTCTCCGGCACTTCAACGTTGTAATAAGATGAAGGTTCCCACGGCAAGCCGACTTTGGCCTTTTTGTTCTTCTTGGCCGCTTCATCAGTAGTGTTATCGCCTGCAGCGACGGGGTCATCGCCAGCTGCGATGTCGGCATCTGCGCCCTTGTCGTCTGAGTCCTTGACGTTCTTGCGGACGTCTTTCCAGGAGAGGAATGTGCGCAGACGGGAGACTTTTGCTTGGTCGTGGCGGATCTGGAAGATGAGATCGTTGATGCTGATAGATTTTGATCCGCGACGCGAGGCGAGCTCGGTGCAGTTTCGGAGCTGAGAAGGGGTTAGTGAGATGAATGAGACGAAACAGAGGGCGATGGGATAATAGTGAGACGGAAGCTGGAGAAACGTACTAATTCTATGACTTGTTGACGGACGATATCCTCAATGATACTTGTAGTTTCGATAGGTGGTTCTGCTGTTTCGCCAGAAACGTACATCATTTGACTGATTTCCTGGCGGTATTTGTATGCCTTGTTCTCCGCCATTTTGTCGCTGTTGGTGTGACTCTATCTTATTATGTGTATAAGATTTTCGATATTGATTTAATTGTTTGACTGATTGATGAGGCTATTCGTTGCTTGGATAGAGAGTGAAATGGAGGATGAATGAGTATGTGAAGTGAGATGAAATGGCCAGGATAATGAGAGTGTTACAAGAGCATGGACTAAACTAAACCTAAATAGGAAGTATATTGATCCGCGATGTTTGTTCAACCTTCGAAATCATCACTTCAAACGAGAAGGCATATTTGAGATGTCGATAAATCTTGAATCGCTTATAGGCGACCGACTTCTTATATTAATGCTGTCACAATTTGTCTGGGGGGTGAAAAGTCTCTGCGCCGCGTGTTTGCTTCTCATACTTCTAGAAGCCTGTAATTCAGAACCCGGCCCAGTCAGTATCCTGGCTCTTATACAAAGGAATATTGCAAAATGATGTTCATGGTGTTTTTATAATCGTATCCAATTGATCATTTACGCTCCTCCTCCAATACCTCCCCAGCTTCCAAACCCATTCCCCCTTGAAGCCCAAACAACGATATAATGCGCCGCCAACAACTTCCACTCCTCAACCTCATCCAACCCCTCCAACGAATCCACTCGCTGCTTCTCCTCGGGCGAAACCCAATTCTGCCAGATATCCTCAATCGTCATATGATGCACCGTCTCGAAACCAGCTTTGCTCATCCGCGCTCGCTGGTCTTCTGGTGTAGGGTACATTTTGAGGGTGGGCATCTGGATGCGTCGCGCTGCGAGATTCGATACCATCATTTTACCGAAGGCGTCGTCTGGGCGGATGGGCTCGTAGATTATGGTTGCGAGATTGGGGATGCGGGTTGTGAAGAAGTTGAGTACGTCTGAAGCTTCGCTGGCGTTGAGATAGCAGAGACAGCATTCTGAGAGGAGCAGTGTGGGGATATCGGTGCGAAGACCAGGGAGAGTGACCTCTGGTCGTTCTTGTGTTGTTGACTGAGCATCATCTTCCTCGTTCGATGCTTTCGTTTGAGAAAAGTTGCGCAGGTCTTGGCCATGGCAGTAGTATTCACCACCCGTTGAAGGCCTACTTGACCAGGAGTGCTCCGTTAGTTGTGTGACATTTGTCAAGATGTTTCGCAACGTAGGCACAGCTTGAACAGTCCTTAGCTTCTTGGAAGTAACGACTTCGAAATCAAGCTCATGATAGACCAAGCCAGGACGGGCCTTTGAAGCGAATAGTCGAAAAGGTCGTGTATCAGTACCAGCACCTAACGAGACAATTTGTTTCGGTACAGAGTCTCCATCTGCATTTAAGAATGACTCAATGAGAGTATTTAGAGAAATTGTTCTCGTATATGTTCCTATATGAAGTTGGTAAGCTACATGTCATGATGGATAGTTGAAATAGTGTACCTCGGTTGATAATAGGAAGCCGTCTAGCAGCAGGTCCATCAGAACTCTGAACAAAGTACTGAGCAAAAGGGTCATCCAGATATCCAAGATCAACAGCACTCAGTCTCGACACAGAAGCATCAGTATCAGTGCCCTGAATGGTGGAGTCGTGGGTAGCTGAAGAGGAAGCATGGCCACCTCTACCTCTTCCGCGACCGCGACCTCCACGGGCGCTGCGGAGAGAACTGAGAAGGTTTGGAATGTCTGATGCGGACATTATACTGAAGATGAGGGCATTCAGAAGTGTAAAGGGTCCTTTAGTTGATCCGGCCGAGGGGTTGTTGAGGGAGTGTCCCACTCGTTAATGAATGTGACCAGTGACGTCGGTCAGACCCTGCAAATTGAAAGTGAAAGGTTCAGGTCATGATTGCGGGGCATTATTTCTGTGCAACATCAACACACAGACAATCCATAATTCTGCATAAAGACCCTTGTTTCATATTTAATCTCTACTGTCAATCAGTGGATAGTAATCTTTCGGTCACTATCGAAATGGTTTCAGATACTTGAGAGTTGGGCCGGGTTAGATTCAGCCTGTGACTTCAGAGGCAGAGTCTTAGCTCCAGGGGTCTCGATCCTCAGGGAAGCGCCAAGTATACGCCTCTTGTGGCTATCAGAGAAATGGAAGAATGCCTTACCAGTCAAAGCAACGAGGCAAATACAGCGAATCATTAAAGACGTTATGCAAATCGTTGCTGTAAGCTCTGTGTGGTTTTTTTTTTTTTTTT